TCGTCGTTCGATAAACACCATCAGGTTGATGCTCCAGAGACAGAATGAAGCTAGATTCGTGATGTGAGATGAAGTGCGCTCTTCACGTCCGATCGTTCATCTCAATGACAACATGAAGCCGATACGTCACTGAACGAGGGTTGCTTCGGACCACACTCGGCCGATGGCACTGAAGTACTTAAGACGAGGAGAAACGCCTCCCAAACATCTAGTACGTGGGGTTTTTTTCAGATTGAAGAAGAAAACAGCTTTTCGATATAAATCAATAATTATCTCTACCGAAATTGAGAACGAATTTCATCGAATTCACGGGCTCAGCTTCAGTTCTATCTTCTTGACCATTATATAATCTCACGACGACATAAACATCTGGTCTCAACATGGCGACTGCGGGGATGCAAAACCCGTCCTGGTTTCTGTATGGCCCAGGCTCAGCCAAGATCATGGACCGGCCTACTCCTACTCTCAAGAACGCAAATGAAGTTGTTCTCAGGGTCAAATACGTGGGCGTGTGTGGATCTGATGTATGTCTCCTATCAGCCCAATCGACTTGATGTTGATCGATCTCTACCAGGTGCACTTCTGGAAAGAAGGAGGGTTCCAGCGCAAAGTCAGCGACGAGAAGCCTATCGTGATGGGTCATGAAGCCTCCGGTACCATCGAAGCAGTCGGTTCCGCCGTCACCAACGTCAAAGTAGGCGATAACGTAGCGATCGAGCCAGGGGTTCCCTGCCGATGCTGCTCAGCCTGCAAAAGAGGCGAGTATAATTTATGCGTCGCGATGAGGTTCTTCGCTGACCCTCCGGACTCCCATGGGGCCTTGACAAAGTATCTCGTCATGCCGGAGGACTTTGTCTACAAGGTCCCTGACGAGGTGAGCCTCCAGGAGGCGGTCCTCGTGGAACCCACCGCCGTCGCCGTCCACGCGGCACGTCTGGCTGAGATCAAGTACGGGCAAGATGTCGTCGTGACTGGGTGTGGGACGATCGGATTGCTCTGCGCGGCTGTAGCCAAGGCCTTTGGCGCCCGACGCGTCATCTTGGCTGATATCATCCAGGCGAAGCTAGACTTTGCGCATACGTTCCTCGACTGTCAGACATTCTTGGTTGAGCCTGGGACACCGAGTGAAGATGTTGCTGCGAAGCTGCTGGAGACGGTTGGTATTACCGGCGGAGTGGACGCTGTCATTGAGGCGTCGGGAGCACAGTCGTCAATCCAGACGGGCATCTTTCTGCTCAAGAGCGGCGGCAGTTACGTCCAGGCTGGGTTGGGTAAAGCCAAGCCTGAAGTTCCCATGCTGGTTCTGTCCGAAAAGGAACTCAGAGTCCGAGGATGTTTTCGATACGCCTCTGGCGATTATGAGTTGGCTTTGTCGCTTATTGCGGAGGGCAAGGTGAAGCCTAAAGCGATGCTGTCGAGTGTGACCCCCTTCGGGACGGCCACTCTGGCCTGGGACAAGACTGCAAGGGGCGAAGGAGTTAAGAATATCATTGAAGGTGTCAGAGATTGAGGGAAGCCCTCGCTTGAGTGTAGGTAATGTCTCCGCCGTCTTCTTCTCATAACCCATATTAGGACAACGATTAACGTGCTGCGCTTTCTAAAGCGTATTCTCACAGGAAGATGTAGGATACAGAGAGTAGGAGCGGTAACAATAGTGTCAAAAATAGCAGCAGCAGCAGCAACAGTAGTGATAGTCAGAATAGAACTGAGGTATTTGGCGGCGAAATGCTTCATTGTGTCACCCACTTGGCTTCCTGAACTCGCTGGAAACATGAAGTGCCATCCTTTATGCCGAGTCTGCGTACTCCCAGATATGCTTCTCTATAAAATCGAGGGCCCTCATATCCTCGTTCTCCTTCTTGATCTCCATCACCCGCTTCTTGTACTTGTCGTTGGCAAGCACCTCCTCTACTCCCTCTGCAACTTGTTGCGACGTTGGGCGACCAGTCTTGAGATTAACAGCTACACCCGTCCATTGCCCACGCATGGAAATCTCCGGCTTGTCTTCTGTATCGCCTCCGAGCACCATAGGTACCCCATTCACTATTCCGTGCAGGAAGCCTCCATAGCCAGCATTCAGGACCCAAACATCTGCGTGCTTGAGCAGGGCGTCGTACGAGAGGAAGTCGACGACCTTGGTGTTGGCCGGAATCGTGAGCTCTTCGGGAAGTGTCGCACCCTTGACACCCAAAATGGCAACGAGAATGATATCATCGCGGTGAGCCAGACCTTGTATCGTGGGGATGATGAGATCCGTGTAATTGATAGCGATGGTACCCTGAGCAACTCCCACAACCTTCTTGTTTCCGGCTGTGATTTCACCCCACCATTCTGGGTACTTGTAGTTCGGGTCGATGGGCTTGGGCGGTAAACATCCCGCGTACTTGATGACATCGGGGAGATCCGATCTGGGGTACTCGAGGCTGGGCGAGCACATTTGCAGGGTAACGTCGTAGCTGGTTTGCCATGATTCGAACAAGGCTGGTGGCAGCTCGCGCGTACCGCCGAGCGCCTTGACGACGTCGTTGTACTCCTTTGCTGCCGCACCAAAGGGGCCTATCGGGCTAAAGAACATCTCATTGAGGAGCTTGTTCCGCCCGCGGCCGGACTCGGTCGAGTCGGGGGGCAGACCGGGTCCGAACGGCGCAGTGTCAATGCTCGTGGTCACGACGGGGATAATGTTGATGTCGACGACGGGCGGTCTCGTGGTGTAGCCCTTAGGTAGAGGCGTGCCGTACATCATAGGGGCAAGACCCATGTAGAACGTCTCGTGGACAATGACGACTTGCTTGTCGGGATGCTCGACACGGATCTTCTCGAGGGTTTCCATCAGGACATGGAAGTGAGGCGTCACAGCCTTGATGAAGACGTTGCTTAGGTCGTACATCAGGCGGGGTATGCCAACAGGAATCTTTTCGCGAATGGCTTGCTCCTCGGGGTTCAACATGGGCGGAATGCTAACATGCTGGGCACCGATGCGCTTGACTTGAGGGTGGAATTCTTCGCCGGCGATGAATGTCCCTTCAAAACCGCGTTGGATCATCTCATCAGCAACCTGAAGGAGGGGATAGGTGTGTCCTGTTGCTGGTGCCGCGCAGAAGAGAAGGTAAGGCCGCTTCTTGTTGCCGTCGCTGACACCATTGTTGGCCGCTGCTTCGGCAGCCTGAGCTACAGAGTCTGCTGACAGTGTCATGATCTCAGATACTTTTCTCTTTCAAGAGATTCTTGGGGTCAGTAAATAGATGCTCGAATCGTTACTTGAAAGCAGAGAGAAGGATGACATCAAGATGAGCGGCAGCACCCAGTGATTTATACATGTATGGATAAGAGAATCTCTAGGGAAGACGCAGTACGCGGGGAGCTTCAAATCGATGCGGTCACTCATCTCGGTGAGATTTCCATCCGTACGCGCGCCGTTGGGTCGAATAGTCGCCGGCTTTATTGCGTTCAACGCTGCATCGGGCCGCATTGCGAAAAGGAAATCTGACAGGAGATTTTAGTACGTCAAACGGCCCTATCCTGCCTGTCTCTAAGCCTCAAGCTTGTTGTATGGGGCCATCAAAGAGCCAGTCAGCATGCACTGGTCGTATATCGTACACCAGTGTGCGTAAGGCAGCGAGTCATTGTGAGATGCTGCACAACCTCTGTGTCCACGTGAAGAGGAGTCGAATGGGCATGTTGTAGGGTCTTACCGGCGGTATTGAAGCCCATTGGTGTCATACTCTGATTATCGACGGTCCACGTCTCTACAGCGCGATGAGAAAGGACACTGCAGGATCAGGGTCCTTGCAGCCAAGTCTCAGCCCGTCAGCGCGACGTCTAGAACGAACGAGCTAGTGTGGCCGTGGATTAAGGCTAACGGTGCTAGCATCGTGGATGATGTAAGTCGGCGGATTGGCTTCGTTCTGTAGCTTCAGGCTCCAGTCTTGCGGCTATCCGAGTGCCGAGCTTTGAGCCATCGCCGGAAAGGTCCTGACATGGCAGATCAGATTCTCTTGAGAATGCTCTTAGCCACCTGAGATTATCGGATGACAGGGCCCAAGGGGCATCTGCCATCCCCGGTAGAGAGTCTACCGGCATAGAGGGGCCCGGCATGGATAAGTGCTAAAAAAAAGAAACGTTCATATGTGAGGTGGGGGTTGACGCGTGGTTCGTCTTCAGACCATAAGGGAGGCTTCACGACCGAGATGTATTGACAATCGTAGGTAAATCACATATCGAAAGACGAAATACTCTGGACAACAGCCTGCTGCCTTATACGCGCTTCACAAGTTTGCCAGCCTTTGCGAAAGCGAGATCTCGAAGAAGAGTAAAGTAGAGAAAAGGACTAGTAGTAAGATGGCGCATGCAGGTAAGCTGACGCTCTGATATCCTGCCACTTGCGGGAGTTTCATTGGTGCTCTTGGGAGTTTGATGGATTCTCGATGATCTAGAAGACGATGCGAGCCATTGATGGGGCCCTCGCGAGCGAATGATCAAACCTGTGCGACAAATAATGACAATAGTGAAAGTGTTGACAGTTTGATTTGTGTTCGTCTCTTCGTGAGGTTCTATTGTTTTGGCCACTGGACCACAGAGGCCTGTAACGTTTCCTTAGCCTCACACAATGCGAATGAAGCGTTCCCGGATGATGAAGAATGAGCTGATGGACGTCGTTGATCAACACTGCATCGGCGTCGGCAAACAGCAAAAGGCCGCGCGGGGACGACGCTCTCGCGCGCGCGGGATGATCCCCAAGCAAGGAATGTTGTATCCTTATTAATGGGTCTCGGCCGTTATGTCTCATCCGCTTTGCTGGACCACTCTCGATGCTTGATCAAATGTCTTGGTTCGCGCGCGCGACTTGACCAAAGGCACTCTGCATGTCCCCCCATCACCGTCGTTGTTCTCGAAACCATTGAATGTTCCGATATTCCCATATCCTTTTAAGATCCCAAACGCCCCACCAAAAGATGTAATGCATGCTGCAGCCGCCCGATGCTGCTTTACGTGAGGCCTGGTCAAGCAGTCCCTTTTCCTTTGCGATCGCCTGTCCGGGCGAACAGGTCCTTGAAGCTCCAGTGCCTCCTGTCTGAATCGTCTGATGGTCCGGATGAAGGAAGTATGGAGAATCGAGAGGATGACGAGCTTGACTTGGCTGAGCCGTAGACTTCGGTCGGTCGCCCTGGCACAAGAGCAGTTAGAATTGTGTTCAAAAACGCAACGCAGGAGACCAAAGTGGCATCAAACTTACTAATGTTTCCAGCCCCTCCAATCCCGTATCCTCGAAACTGGCGGTCTCTCACCGCAGTCTCCTTGGCATCGTCCTCCTCTGTGTCGCTGCTCGCATTATCCAAGCTCTTCCTCCTGCGCACTGGTGCCACTGTGCTCCCAGCTACGCCCGACTCGAACTTTGCGCTCGCTGGGCCCCCCGACCCGTTGCCGACAACTGGCGAGGGCAGCTCCGGGGCCACTGACGGCGTGGGTCGCAGATTCGCTGTGGACACGCTGCGAACGACAGCGAGTCGGCCTTGAACGCGGACGCGGTGTCGGCGCTTCTTCGTGGGGATGAGCTGGTCTGACTCCGGATCGGGTTCCCCCGCGTCGTCTTGAGAGTATCGGTGCTGGTTCGAGAAGGGAACCATCGTGGGAATTTGGTGAAGCGAGTCGAATTAGGGGTAAGATCGGCGAAAAGAGGTTTGTCGTGGTTTAAGGTTGCGGTGTGATAACGCAGTGCTCTGGCCAGCTTCCGCCGGGATGGACACGAACAATTAGGGGGCCCCCTGGACAGGAGAACTGAAGTAACGCAATTGAAATGTAGAAACAAGAATCAAAACAGCGGCTGGGTTTGAATGAATGGACGCAACGAGGTGACAAATTCTCGTCGCACGGGAAGCGGGCGTGGCGAGGAACTATTTCATCAGCTCGCAGCTCAGGGACAGTATATACACACAATATTCACAAGCAAGGTAGAGGAAGAGAGCAAAGGAATGAACTAGGGCGTCGCATCATGAGCGGCAGGAAAGGTAGAAAGGGGGACCAACGCCCATATGTTCGCCCCCAGACGAACGCCTCAGCCCAGTCCAGCCAACACGAACTCGCCCTAAGCTAAGCACCAGCTGTTTTAATGACTACTAGGTAGATAAGAAGACGGCGTGCTTGGGGTTGATTGCGCCGCTTTGCCATAGTCACTATGCTGATTTCCTTCTGTCAAAGCTTCTAGCAATCAAATCTGGGCTCCTTCGCCTTCCTTCAGTGTTCGGGGGCGGACGAAGCAAAAGGCCCCCCCCCCCCCCGGCCCTCATTAACTCATTAAACCTTGCATTGGCGCAAACCCCTGGCAGAAATGGGGGCTACGCTGCAAAGGAGTCCAAAGCAAGGAATTTTGGGGTGACATCGCCGGGGAACCAACCCGGATTTGCACCAGGGCCCGTCTCCCGCCCCGACCAGGTTGCCGGCTGCTTCGGATTCTAAGATTTCAAGGGATTCTGCTTGTTTTGTTTTTTTATCTATTTCGCTCTGGTTCAGATCTATCCATGTTTCTGGTTGTTCATGGAGAAAATACCATCTGACAGAAAAGTTGCGCCGTGAGCCCAAAACAAAGGAAGCCCTGCAAGTGAGATCGATCAAACGTTGCACCAACAGCCACAAACAGCTAGGCTCAGCAGTAACCCATAAGAGATTAGTTCTCACCTCACAGCCATAGTCTATGGAATAGCATTCGATGGCGCCTTGAAGCTCTGTAGATCGCATCCGGGACACGGCTTTTCGAGTGGTTGTCAGGTTTTCTCATCTCAATTTGCAGTTTTGTCATAGTGATTCAGGTGAGCTCTGGTTTGGTGAACAAAGGAAGGTATTATTGATATTACGTATTGCATGATTATCAGTCTTGTGTTCGCTTAAGAAACGTCCTGCATCGCGACTTGCGCAGAAGAAACCAGCGAGTTTCTGAACAAAGAAAGGCTAGAGGTGAGATAACCATAGTAGACAATTTCATGGCGTGTTTTTTTTTTGCCGCAACGCCATTAAACATAAGAAAATCCGACAGAAAGAAAGGAAAGAGTGCTGTAGAAGCATTTTTCGGACTATTTGGCGGCCACGTTCACCGTGGCGACGCCAAAGAGGCGCAAGTTCAGGCAAGCCACAATGTTCGGGCCCGTCAAGGACAGGTTCAAACAATCCGAGGCGATGCCGTTGGATAAGAGGCCGAGCGAAGTCACGCAAGAGATGAGGTTTGGTGCGCTGACTGTCACTGACACGCCACCAGTCGCGTCGACGCCCAGGTTGACACAGCTCTGCGGTAGCGACGTGATACACTGCGAAGCCAGCGAGTTCTGGATACATTGAGCGTACGACTGTGTCTGGGCTCCGAGGAGACTGCCCACCAGGCCGGTAATGCTGCCGAGGGTACAGCCCAAACCGGAAGCCAAATTTGATACCGTGTTTCCCAAGGCGCTGACGACGAGGCCAGCCTGGCAGAGATTGAGGTTGGCATTGATTTCCGACGTGGAGAGTGTGACATCCAGCAGAGCACCGCAGGCTGCCGGAGCGCGGGCGCAGGCTGTGCCGGAAGGACACAATACTGTGCTCGCCAATCCGGCGACTGTTTGACCGACTGGTAGTCCGAGAGCTCGTTCGAAACAGTTGAGAACGGCCGCGCCTCCTTGGTTGGTGACGCTGGATATGATACAGTTGCCTGCTGTCGTGATGGAACCAAAGACTCCAAGGTTGGCGAAGCATAGAGCGGCGTTGGTCTGGACATTGACGAGCGTCTGGCTGGATGCCGCCAGGTTGGCGCAGATTGATGGAAGTCTCGTGAGACAGGTACCCGCCAGAGCAGTCTGTATACATCTGACGTGGTTGTATCCCAGGATGTTTCCTAACAGAGCAACTTGTTGCAAGTTGAGACAGTTGCTGACGGTTCCAATGTTGGCGGTCGCGCCCAAAGCTGCAGTACAAAGATCGAGCGTCGACTGAGAGTATGATTGCAAGATGACACCCGTGAGACTGGCGCAAGCAGGAGGCAAAGTGATTGCGGATCCAGTTGATGGTAGACAAGTCGGGGCTGCGACACCCGTAGGCGTCGGGACACAGCCGGATGGTGCGTATGAGCTGGTGACGACACGGCTTGCCGATGCGAGTGCCGTCTGCTGCAGGACTGTGTTTCCAACAGTCGTGGTCCGCGTGCCTGTGAAGGCACCAGTGACTCCCGTGAGGATTGTGGTGTACGATGTGCTTGAGGGGAGGGCGGTCTGCTGGACGACCGTGTTGCCAATGGTGGTGACTTGAGTGCCAGTAAAGGTGCCGATCACACCGGTGACCACCGTTGTGTAAGAGACTGGAGGAATGGCCGTCTGTTGAAGGACGGTGTTACCGATGGTCGTGACTGCAGTTCCGGTAAAGGTGCCCGAGACTCCCGTGAGGATTGTGGTATACGGCACGGCAGTCTGAGCGAGGACCGTCCTCGTTGCTCCGGAGCCCGCGAGGGTAGTAAGAGAGGTTCCGGCAAACGTGCCCGGAACACCAGTGGGTACCGTGTTGTAGAAGACCTGCGGCAGAGCCGTCTGGGCGATGACTGTATTACCGATAGTAGACAGAGAGGTTCCGGTAAAGGTTCCAGTAACCCCCGTGACGACCGTGGTGTAGGGAATGGCTGTCTGGGCAACGACTGTCTGAGTAGCTCCAGAGCCCGAGAGAGTGACCAAAGACGTTCCGGCAAAGGTGCCCGGCACGCCTGACGGGATGGTCGTGTAGAAGATCTGAGGCAGGGCTGTCTGAGCGAGAACCGTGTTTCCGATCGTAGACAGGGAAGTTCCGGTAAAGGTGCCAGAAACTCCAGTGAGGACCGTCGTATACGGAATGGCGGTCTCTGCCACGACAGTTCGGGTGGCTCCGGTTCCGGAGAGAGTGACCAGCTGAGTACCGGCAAAGGTGCCTGCGACTCCCGAGGCGACCGTGGTATAGAAGATCTGTGGCAAGGCTGTTTGGGCAAGCACCGTGGCCACGCTTCCGACGGCGGGAAGCGTTGATAGCTGCGTTCCCGTGAAGGTGCCGGTGACTCCCGTGGGTACGGTAACGTACGAAACCACAGGCAAGGCCGTTTGAGCGAGAACGGTCGCGACGCTTCCGACGGCGGGCAAAGTAGACAACTGCGTTCCAGTAAAGGTGCCAGTGACGCCAGTAGGAACAGTAACGTAGGAAACGACGGGCAAGGCTGTTTGAGCCAATACTGTGGCCACACTGCCGACAGCGGGGAGGGTCGAGAACTGGGTTCCGGTGAAGGTGCCAGTGACGCCTGTAGGCACCGTGACATACGATACCACAGGCAAGGCTGTCTGAGCAAGAACAGTGGCAACGCTGCCAACAGCCGGGAGGGTTGAGAACTGCGTGCCAGTAAAGGTGCCTGTGACTCCTGTTGGAACAGTCACGTACGAGACAACTGGAAGAGCTGTCTGGGCCAGTACCGTGGCCACGCTTCCGACGGCCGGCAATGTCGACAAACGGGTGCCTGTGAACGTGCCAGTAACGCCAGTCGGAACGGTCGTGTACGAGATGACTGGGAGAGCGGTTTGTGCCAAGACAGTGGCCACACTGCCAACGGCGGGCAAGGTTGAGAATTGCGTGCCCGTGAAACTGCCAGTGACTCCCGTTGGGACGGTGATGTAGGAGATGACTGGGAGAGCGGTCTGCGCCAAGACGGTTCCGATGGTTCCAGAGACTGGCAAAGTTGACAGTTGGGTACCCGCGAAGGTTCCAGTAACGCCAGTAGGAATCGTGAGATACGAGATGGAGGGGAGGGCAGTCTGGGCAAGGACAGTTCCGATCGTACCGGTAACGGGCAAGGTGGAAAGTTGAGTGCCCGCAAAGGTTTCGGTCACGCCGGTTGGAATCGTGATGTACGAAATAACGGGCAATGCGGTCTCCAGAAGTACCGTCGCAATGGAACCCGTGATCGGCAGCGTGGTTGTCTGGGTGCCGGTGAATGTTCCTGTAACTCCAGTAGGAATCGTAATGTACGAGATGACCGGGAGGGCCGTCTGAGCGAGCACGGTACCGACGGTGCCAGTGACTGGAAGGGTGCTGAGACGGGTTCCTGTAAAGGTTCCGGTCGCTCCAGTGGGAATCGTCACGTAAGAAATGACTGGGAGAGCAGTCTCCAAATAGACGGTGCCAACAGTCTGGCCTGGACCAGTGGTAGGCAAAGTGACTGTAGAGGTGCCTGTGAACGTGCCAGTAACCCCAGTAGGGATGGTGATGTACGAGATGGCCGGAATAGCGGTCTCGAGAACGACGGTGCCGATGCTCTGGCCGGCTCCCGTCGTGGGAAGCGTGACGGTCTGAGTACCGGTAAAGCTGCCGACTACTCCGCTCGTGACGGTAATGTACGAGATGGCCGGAATAGCAGTCTGAAGGACAACAGTAGCGATACTCTGTCCGGCTCCAGTGGTGGGGAGAGTGACGGTTTGAGTGCCTGTGAAGCTGCCCACGATGCCACTGGTGACGGTGACGTAGGAAATGGGCCGGATGGCCGTCTCCAACAACACGGTGCCAACGCTTCCGGTGGCCGGGAGGGTGGTTACCGAGGTGCCAGTGAAAGTGCCAATGACGCCAGTGATAATAGTCGTGTAAGAGACAATGACGGAGCTGGGAATGGCGGTCTGAAGCACGACGGTTCCAAGGCCTCCTCCAACAGCTGGCAGGGTGGTTGTCTGAGTGCCGGTGAAGCTGCCGGTGATTCCGCTGGTGACGGTGAGGTATCCAGTGGGCAGAGCGGTCTGAAGCAGGACGGTTCCGAGACCGCTGACGGCCGGGATCGTCGACGTCTGGGTGCCGAGGAAGTTGCCAGCGACTCCGGTGAGGAGAGTCGTGTACGAGATCGGGATTGCGGTTTGGAGGAGTACCGTACCGATAGTTCCGGTGGCGGGCAGCGTGGTCGCCGACGTTCCAAGGAAGGTTCCGAAGACGCCAGTGACGATGGTGGTGTAGGACGTGGCTGGTGGTACGGCCGTCTGCAGAATAACAGTGCCAAGGGTTCCAGTGACTGGAAGGGTCGTAGTCTGGGTTCCTGTAAAGGTGCCGACGATGCCGGACAGGATGGTGGTGTATCCAGTGGACAAGGCAGGAATGGCGGTCTGCTGAAGAACGGTTCCGATCGTGCCTGTGACGGGGAGAGTAGAGAGCTGGGTGCCGAGGAACGTGGCTCCCAGAACTCCAGTAGGAACGGTGATGTAGGAGGTGACGGGGTTGGGAATGGCAGTCTGTTGCAGAACCGTACCGATAGTGCCAGTGACAGGCAGGGTCGACAGTTGGGTTCCGAGGAATGTTGCTCCCAGAACTCCGGTGGGAATCGTAACATAAGATGTGACGGGGTTGGGAATGGCCGTCTGTTGAAGGACGGTGCCAACGGTCCCAGTGACCGGAAGAGTAGAGAGCTGAGTTCCAAGGAACGTGGCTCCCAGAACTCCAGTTGGGATTGTGATGTAGGAAGTCACGAGAGGAATGGCGGTTTGTTGAAGAACAGTTCCAATCGTGCCAGTAACAGGAAGCGTAGAAAGTTGCGTTCCAAGGAACGTGGCTCCCAGGATTCCGGTCGGTACCGTGATGTACGAAGTGGCAGCGGGCAGAGCCGTCTGTTGCAACACAGTTCCAATCGTGCCGGTAACGGGCAAAGTCGAAAGCTGGATACCCGTGAAGGTAGCTCCCGCGATGCCAGTAGGAATCGTGATGTACGAAGTTGCTGCCGGAAGGGCTGTCTGCTGGAGCACGGTGCCGATGGTTCCAGTAACCGGCAGTGTCGTGAGTTGAATGCCGGTGAAGGTGCCACCGATGACTCCAGTTGGGATCGTGATGTATGAGGTGGCAGCCGGAAGAGCAGTCTGTTGAAGGACCGTACCGATGGTGCCGGTGACGGGCAAAGTGGAAAGCTGGATGCCAGTGAATGTAGCCCCAATAACTCCGGTGGGAATCGTGATGTATGAAGTAGCCGCCGGCAGAGCTGTTTGTTGAAGTACAGTTCCGATAGTTCCCGTGACTGGAAGAGTAGATAGCTGGATGCCGGTGAATGTGGCGCCAGCGACTCCCGTGGGAATCGTAATGTACGAGGTGGCAGCTGGAATGGCCGTCTCCAACAAAACGGTTCCAATGCTTCCCGTAACTGGAAGAGTTGTGGCGCGGGTGCCGACAAATGTCTCGCCAGCGATGCCAGTGAGAATAGTCGTGTAGGAGGTTGTCGGGACGTCCGGAATAGCCGTCTCCAAAAGGACAGTTCCAAGGGTACCGATGACAGGCAGAGTGGTCGCCCTTGTACCAGGGAAGCTGGTTCCGGTGACGCCAGTGAGGATCGTAGTGTACGAAGTCGTGCCGGGGCTCGGGATTGCTGTCTGGAGGACGACAGTGACGAGTCCGGGGGCTGTGGCGGCGGCAGGCAAAGTAGTTGTCTGGGTTCCTGCAAACGTACCAAAGATGCCAGTGACAATGGTGACGTAGGAAGTGTTGATCACGATGACCGAAGAGCTTGAAGACGTGCTGCTGACCGATGGGAGAGCAGTCTGGATGAGAACGGTCGCCACGTTCCCCGTGCCAACGATGGGAAGAGTGGTTGTCTGGGATCCAGCAAAGTTGCCCGGGATGCCTGTGAGAAGCGTGGTGTAGGAGATGGCGGGCAGTGCAGTCTGTAGGACGACAGTTGCCAAGCCGTTGGAACCGACAACAGGCAAAGTGCTGGTCTGGGTTCCGATGAACGTTCCAGGGATACCCGTGAGGACGGTAGTGTACAAGACGCTCGGAAGTGCAGTCTGGAGGAGAACAGTGGCCACGTTTCCGGTGCCGACGACGGGTAGGGTAGTCGTCTGAGTGCCAAAGAAGCTTCCAGCGATGCCGGTGACCAAAGTCGTGTATGACAGACTTGTGGTGGGAATCGGGGTCTGCAGAACAACAGTTCCGAGGCCGTCGATTCCAGTGCCAGGCAGAGTGGTAGTCTGGGTTCCGGTAAAGGTGCCAACAATTCCACTGAAGATCGTAGTGTACGAGGTAGCGGCAGGGAGAGCAGTCTGGAGAACAACTGTTCCAAGGCCGTTGGCGCCGGTGCCAGGGAGGGTGGAAGTCTGCGTGCCGATGAAAGTGCCTGGGACGCCCGTGATGATTGTGGTGTAGGAAGCCGCAGTTGTCGAGGGGACAGCCGTTTGCAAGACAACAGTTCCAAGACCGTTGGTGCCGACCCCAGGAAGGGTAGTTGTCTGGGTTCCAGTGAAAGTGCCAAAGACACCACTGAAGATGGTCGTGTATGAGGTGATTGCGGGAAGGGCAGTCTGGAGGACCACGGTAGCCAGGCCGTCTGGACCAACACCGGGGAGGGTAGTGGTCTGGGTGCCGGTGAAGCTGCCGGGAACGCCGGAGACGATGGTCGTGTACGATTGCACAGCCGATGTGGGAATGGCGGTCTGCAAGACGACGGTAGCCGTGATACCGATGCCGATGCCGACTCCGATGGACGGAATGGGCAGGGTGCTTGTCTGAGTGCCAGTGAAGGTTCCCAAGATACCAGTGACAATGGTGATGTACGTGATGCTGACGCTGCTTGTAGGCGACGAGGTGGCAGAAGGAAGAGCGGTCTGCAAGAGAACCGTTCCGACGCTGCCAGAGATAATTGGCAGCGTGGTCGCCTGCGTACCGATGAAAGTTCCCGGAATTCCAGTCAACAATGTAACGTAGGAGATAACTGGGCTCGGAGTTGCGAGAGCGGTCTCCAAGAGAACGGTGCCAACAGTTCCGGTGATAATGGGGAGCGTAGTCGTCTGGGTACCTGTGAAGATGCCAGGGACTCCAGTCAGGATTGTGGTGTAGGTGACACCAGCGTCGCTCGAAGTCGGCGTGGGAACGGCGGTCTGGAGAATAACGGTGCCAACTCCGTTGGTTCCCGCGGGAAGTGTCGAGGCCAAGGTGCCGGCAAAAGTACCCGGGATGCCCGTGACGATGGTGACATATGAAGCAGCTTGGACTGTGGGAATAGCGGTCTGAATGATGACCGTGGCAAGACCATCAGAACCAGCCGGGAGCGTGGTAGTCTGCGCGCCCAAGAAAGTTCCTGGCACCCCGGAGAGCAAGGTGGTGTATGAGACGGGGCTTGCTGTTGGCAGAGCAGTCTGAACAATGACAGTTGCCAGTCCATCGAGACCGGCAGGCAGCGTTGTCGTTTGTGAGCCCAAGAAAGTGCCCGGGATGCCAGTGAGCAATGTTGTGTACGAAGTTGGGCTTCCCGTTGGCAGAGCTGACTGAATGACAACGGTGGCGAGGCCATCGGGACCAGCAGGAAGTGTTGATGTCTGTAGGCCCAAGAAAGTTCCTGGAAGACCTGTGAATACAGTTGTGTAGGACACTGGGCTGGCTGTTGGGAGGGCAGTCTGGATGACCACAGTCGCGATTCCGTTGGTACCGGCGGGCAAGGTGGAGGTCTGCGCACCAAGGAAAGTTCCTGGAACGCCCGTGAGCACCGTGGTGTACGATAGAGGGCTTGATGTTGGCAGGGCTGTCTGGATAAGAACGGTTGCCAGACCACCAGGGCCAGCAGGAAGGGTAGTCGTCTGGGCGCCCAAGAAAGTGCCAGGAACGCCGCTGAAGACGGTGGTGTACGAGAGCGGGCTGGCTGTCGGGAGTGCGGTTTGAATGACCACAGTTGCAATCCCGTCGGTTCCGGCTGGCAGAGTTGTTGTCAAAGGCGCGGTGAAAGTGCCAGGAACACCAGAGAACAAGGTCGTGTACGACGTTGGGTTTCCAGTGGGCAGGGCGGTCTGAATGACCACCGTGGCGATGCCGTTAGATCCAACAGGCAAGGTGCTCGTCTGAGCGCCGATGAATGTACCCGGTACACCAGTGAGAACGGTCGTGTAGGACGTAGGGCTTGCGGTCGCAGTTGGAAGCGCCGTTTGAATGAGCACGGTCGCGATGCCGTCAAGCCCAGCGGGCAACGTGGTTGTGATGGGCGCGATGAATGTGCCGGGAATGCCAGAGAACAGAGTCGTGTAGGACGTCGGCACACCAGTAGGCAGCGCAGTTTGGATGATCACAGTAGCAACGCCGTCAGGTCCAACTGGAAGAGTGCTGGTCTGCGAGCCCAAGAAGGTTCCAGGGATGCCAGTAAGCAATGTCGTGTACGAGGCGCTTGCTGTTGGGATCGCGCTCTGGACAAGTACGGTAACGAGTCCATCGGGACCGGCAGGAAGCGTGGTTGTCTGAGCTCCGATGAAAGTGCCGGGAACGCCTGTGAAGCGAGTCGTGTAGGAAACACCCGAGGTAGGAAGAGCGCTTTGCACGACAACAGTAGCGAGACCGTCGGGGCCCGCGGGCAAGGTCGTGGTCTGAGGTCCGACGAACGTGCCGGGCACGCCAGAGAAGATGGTGGTGTACGAGACCGGGCTTGCGGTGGGCAGGGCAGTCTGGAGAAGAACGGTTGCGATGCCGTTGGTACCAACAGGCAAAGTCGTCGCCTGGGTTCCGAGGAATGTGCCCGGAATTCCCGTCAAGACTGTAGTGAAAGAAACACCGGCAGACGGGACGGCGCTCTGGACGAGGACAGTTGCCAGTCCATCGGGTCCTGCTGGAAGAGTCGATGTCTGAAGACCGGCAAAGGTGCCAATGATGCCCGTGACGATGGTCGTGTACGAGACAGTGACGCTGGGGCTGGACGTGGCCAGAGGAAGGGCAGTCTGGATGAGAACGGTGGCAGATCCATCATTGCCGGCGGGAAGGGTAGTTGTCTGGGTGCCAATAAAGGTTCCAGGAACACCCGTGATGAGAGTGATGTACGAGATACCGCCAGTGACCGTCGGTGTCGCAACGGAGCTGCTCGTCTCCGTGAGGGGAACGTAGACAATGACCGTGTTGGGCAGGGTAGGATCGCCGCTGATGCTGACCAGAATTGTGGTGGTGATTCTTGTCGTTCCGGTGTAAGGGGAGAAGATGGTGGTGAGGTCACGGCTGAGAATTGAGGTCGGAGCAGATGTAATGGATGGCAGCGAGGCGGACGTGCCAGTGATCTCCGGGACCTGCACAATGACGCTTCCGATGCCAGAGCCCACAGGGGGGATTGAGAAGGTCGTCGCAACAGAGCCGGTGATGGTGAGGGTCGTGTAAGACGCGAGGAGGGCAGTCGGAGTCTGGATGACCACGGTTCCGAGGCCGGTAGGGTCGGCGGCTGGGATGGTAAAGGTCGACGCACCTGGGCCACCAGAGGTGATGGTGGTGAATAAGGCTCCCGGGCTGACAGTGGGTGTCTGGATGACGACCGTTCCGAGGCCAGTGGGATCAACAGCTGGAATCGTGAAAGTGGAAGCGACTGGACCACCAGAAGTGAGAGTCGTGAAGAAGGCTCCGGGGCTGACGGTGAGGGTCGGTGTCTGGACGACAACCGTGCCAACGCCACCAATGATGTTGGGCAGAATGGTGCTGGTCGCAGCAACCGGTCCTCCCGTGGTGATGGTGGTGAAGATGCCAGATAGAATTGACGTGGGCTCGGAGATGATGACCGAGACGATGCCATCCAGTCCGGTGACCGTAGCTGTGGCCGGGAGCGCTCCGGTGCCTGGAACCGTGGTGAAGATGGTCGAAGGAGTGACTCCTGGGAGCAAAGTAGTGCTCGGAAGCTCCACGATGACAGAGACGATTCCACCAAGGCCGCTGGCCGTAGTAGTGGTCGGGAGAGCACCAGTTCCCACAATGGTGGTGAAGACCGTAGTCGGAACCACGAGGCTCTGGCCCGAGGTTGTAGGCTCCAAGAAGATGACGGAAACGACTCCATCCGCTCCCGTGACGGTGGTCGTTGCTGGTAGAGCAGCAGTTCCGGGCAACGTGGTGAAGACCGTAGTCGGAACAGCTCCCGAGGGAAGAGTAGGAGTCTCAAGAATGACAGAGACGATTCCATCTGGGCCGGTGACGGTAGTAGTGGCAGGCAAGACTCCAGTGCCCGGCTGAGTGGTGAAGACCGTAGAGAGGATCTGTCCAAGAGCCGTTGGGGTCTGTACAATGACGGAAATCACGCCATCAGGCCCGGTGATCGTGGCAGTGGCCAAGAGTGAGCCAGTTCCAGGCGCGGTTGTGAAGACCGTGGAAGGAGTATTGGAGGGCAAGCCAGAGGAGACAGTCGGGGTCTGGATGATGACCAGACCAACTCCGGTGGGATCCGTTGGCAAAATAGTCGTCGTTGCCGGAACGAGGCCAGAGTAGCCGCTGGTGACGGTCTGGAAGATGGCAGGAAGGTCAATGATGACTGTCGCTGGGAGGCCGGTGCCGGCGGGAGCAATGGTGGTGGTGCCGGCAGATGGTGCACCAAAGCGAGTTGAAGTAACCTCGGCAAAGACGCCGGGGATATTGACAAGAACCGTGGTTGGATCTCCAGGCTGAGCGGGAGTTTCTGTCTGGATGAGAGTAACGGAGCCGCTGTAAGTATTGAAGACGGTTGTGATGCCACCAATCGTGGGTGACGCCGTGGCCGTGGCCGTGGCCACGCCAGGAACCTGGATCATGATCGTCTGGGCACCATCGGAGCCCATTGGCAGAGTTGAGGTGGCAGTAACACTTAGACCAGGGATCGTCGTCGTGACGAGCACCAAGCGACGGGGGAGACCAAGAAGAACAGTGACCACATCGCCAGGCCTTGACGGAACAAGAGTCGAGATCTGGGTGACGGAAGCCGTGATGAAAGAAGTAATGGTTGTGTACGTAGTGCCGTCCGAGATGGTGAGAGAAGGCGTGCTTGAAGGCACGGCGGTCGGGACTTGGATGAAGACGGTGCCTGGCAGACCAGAGGCAGCGGGAGCGAGCGTCTGGAAGAGAGTTGAGGCGCCAGAGTAGCCAGTCGTGACGGTGATGTACGAGATGATGGACTGAGTGACCGAGATGGCGGGCGTTGTCGTGGCTGTGGCCGTGGCAGTGGGAACCTGGACCACAACGGTCGCAAGTCCATCTGCGCCAGTGACAGAGCCGATGAGGGTCTGAAGAAGCGATCCATCATATCCACTCGTAACAGTCGTGTACGAAACACCGGGCAAAGTGGTCGTGGGCAGAGATGCCGTGCCAGTGGGGATGTTGACGACCACGGTGATGTAGCCGTCAATACCGGGAAGAGAGCCGATGAGAGTCTGGATGAATGAGCCTCCATAGCCGCTGGTGACTGTGGTGTATGAGACCGGAGCCGAGACAGTCGGACTAGAGGTGATGGAGGCTGTTGGCACCTGGATCACGACCGTGGCGAGGCCATCAGCACCAGTAGCGGTACCGATGAGGGTCTGGAGAAGAGATCCAGCGTAGCCACTTGTGATGGTGGTGTAGGAAAGACCGGAAATCGTTGCAGTCGGGGAAGTGAGTCCCAAAGTTGGAGTCTGGATGATGACCGTCGCCAAGCCGTCTGCACCAGTCTGCGTTCCAATGAGAGTCTGGAGAAGGGAGCCGTCGTAGCCACTTGTCACGGTGGTGTACGAAAGGCCAGGAATAGTGGCAGTCGGCGAGGTAATGGCAATCGTGGGCGTCTGAATGACCACTGTGGCCAGTCCATCAGCTCCGGTCTGCGTTCCAATGAGAGTCTGGAGGAGAGATCCAGCGTAGCCGCTGGTAACCGTGGTATAGGAGAGACCCGGAATGGTGGCCGTGGGTGAAGTGATGGCGATGGTGGGAGTCTGGACGACAACAGTAATAAGACCATCGACACCAGTGACTGAGCCGGTCGATGTGGCAATGACAGATCCATCATATCCAATGCTGACTGTAACGAACACGCCAATGCTTCCCGTGATGGTTGGCAATGAGGCGGTAGTTCCAGTCGGCGATAGAACGACCACAGTGACGAGGCCATCCACTCCGGTGAGAACGCCCGTCTCGGTTGCGAGGACAGATCCAGGGTAGCCGCTGGTGATGGTCGTGTACACAGCTCCAAGGGCGCTGGTGGCACTTGGGACCTGGATGACGACTGTTCCGGGGTCTCCGGGGTTGGCCGGAGGAATGGTTGTTGTCAATGGGCCCAGGCCGGTGAAGCCACCACTGGTGACAGTCACGTACGAGATGGCATCCACACTGACTGAGCTGGTGGGAACCTGAACGATGACGGTTCCAAGGTCGCCAGGAGCGCCAGGGGCCACGGTAGTGGTCTGAGGAATGAGGCCGGTGTAGGCACTGGTGACCGTGGTATAAGAGATGCTGTCCGTGTTGAGCACGTTGCTGGGAACCTGAATAATGACCGTGGCAAGTCCGGAGGGATCCGTCGCCGCAGGGGGAATGGTGGTGGTCAAGGTGACCGAGCCGCCATAGGTGCTGAAGAGGGTAGTGAAGAAGCCACCCGGGGAAGCGGTAAGACTGCCAGTGGGGAGGCTCGAAGTATCCAAGATGTCAGGAACTTGAATGACAACTGTTCCCAAGCCCGTGGGGTCCGCGGCGGGAATAGTAGTTGTCAAAGTGACTGAGCCAGGGTAGGTACTGAACACCGTGGTGAACAACGCTCCCAGAGCACTCGTGGCCGTGGGGATCACTCCAGTTTCGGGGATCTGAATAATGACTGTACCGAGACCCGCAGGGTCAGTGGCATCGGGAGGCAGAGTGGTGGCCAAAGTAACAGATCCAGGATAAGTGCTGAAGATGGTGGTGAAGGAAGCAGCCAAAGCACTCGTGGCAGTGGAAATGATTCCTGTATCGGGGATTTGAACGATGACCGTGCCGAGGCCAGCTGGATCTGTGGCAGCAGGAGGCAGAGTCGTGGTGAGCGTGATGGATCCCGGGTAGTTGCTGAAGATGGTGGTGAACGAGGCCGCCAGAGCACCGCCAGAGGAGCTGGAACCTGTGACCTGAGAGTCGGGCACCTGGATGATAACCGTTCCGGTTGCGAGGCCGGCTGGATCCGTGGCAACAGGAGGAATGGTGGTTGTCAAAGTGACCGATCCTGGGTAGCTGCTCACGATAGTGGTGTAGAAGATGCCAGGCGAAGCCAAGAGATCCGAGGTAGTAAGAGGAACCTGCACAACAACAGTACCAATGCTGCCTCCAACCGCGGGATCGATCGTGGTGGTGATCGGAGCAGATCCCGAGAAGAAGCTGACGATCGTCGTGTATGTAATGCTGACGCTGATGGTCGGGCTCGACGTGGCCAGGACATTGGGCAACTGGACGATGACTGTGCCAATGTTGGTAGGGTCGCCGCTAGCCGGAGCAAGGGTCGTCGTGAGAGGAATGTCGCCAGTGTACGTGCTGAAGATTGTGGTGTAGCTGACGACATCGGAGTTGGCAGACGATGTTGGCAACGCAGTGAGGACCGAGCTGGGCTGAAGAATGACAACAGTACCAGTCTCACCAGGCGCGCCGGGTGCAATGGTAGAGGTCTGGATAATGGACCCGTCGTATCCACTGAAGATTGTAGTGAAGGGCACATCAGATGTTGCAGTGGCCTCGGGCTCGAAGAAGATGATGGTGCCAACAGTGTCAGTTCCCGAGGGAGCCTGCGTGGAGAAGGATGGCAACAATCCAGTGTACGTGCTGGTGACCGTGGTGTAAGAAGAAACACCAGGGATCTGAACGCTCGAGCTGGGAACCAGCAGGATGACGGTGCCAACAGCATCGGTGCCCGCGGGAGCTAGAGTCGAGGTCGCCAGCAACGATCCTGCGTATGTGCTGATGATGGTCGTGTAGGAAACGGTGACGCTGGGCGCGGCGGTGCCCGTTGGCTCCAGAATGACGACTGTTCCGGGTCCATCGGTGCCGACCGCCGGGACGGTGGACGTGGCAATGACGGAACCATCATATCCGCTTGTAATGGTCGTGAAAGAGCCAGCGTTGGAAGTCGTGAGAAGCAGAGCGGGATCCAGAATGATGACGGTCGCAGGGTCTCCGGAAACGGCGGGTGGAATTGTAGAGGTCAGGGTCTCGGTTCCGGTGTACGGCCTCGTAATGGTGATGCCCGGGGTGTCGATCGTGATAGGATTGAGAATGATAATAGTTCCCTCGGTATCCGATCCGGTCGGGAAAATGGTCGTCGCGGATGGGATAGCACCCGAGTACGAGCTCGTGATGGTGGTGAAGCTGATGCCCGCACTGCTCGTGGGTACCAGAATGACAACCGCGCCAATTGTCTCCGTGCCCGTGGGCAGAATGGTCGACGTTGAGGGTACAATGCCGGAGTAGCCACTGGTGAGCGTGATGAACTGGCCAGGAGAGGCTCCAAGAGCAGAGCTTGGGACCAGGACGACAACATCTCCAGGCTCGCCCGAGGGTCCAGCGGGGAGAGTGGTAGTCAAAGTGACTGAGCCATCGTAGGTGCTGGTCAACACGTTGGGCAGAGCCGCGGTGGGAGTAGTCAAAGCATCGGTGATGCTTGGGACCAAAATAACGGTAGCACCAGACTCTCCCGAAGGACCAACCGGAAGGGTTGTGGTGAGAGTAACCGATCCAGCATAGGTGCTGGTCAGGATGTTCAAGTCTGCAGTAGGCGTGGGGATGGCACCAGTGAGACTTGGCACCAGAACAACAGTCGGACCAGGCTCGCCTGAAGGTCCAGCTGGCAAAGTGGTTGTTAGGGTGACTGAACCGCCGTATGTGCTGGTCAAGAAGCTTCCCAGCGCAGAAGTAGCGCCAGGAACCAAGACAACGGTCGGGCCAGGTTCTCCCGAGGGGCCAGCCGGAAGCGTGGTAGTGAGAGTGATGGATCCGTCATATGTGCTAGTAAAGAGGTTGGGCAATGCCGAAGTCAATCCAGGAACCAAAACGACGGTAGGGCCAGGCTCGCCAGATGGACCAGCGGGGAGGGTAGTTGTGAGCGTAATGGATCCATCGTACGTGCTCGTGAAGAGGTTTGGCAAAGCACTCGTGAGACCAGGGACCAAGACCACGGTCGCGCCAGGATCGCCAGACGGGCCAGCGGGGAGCGTCGTGGTGAGAGTCACAGACCCGTCGTAGGTGCTTGTGAAGAAGTTTGGCAGAGCAGATGTCGGCAAGGCAGATGTGAGACCTGGAACCAGAACAACAGTAGGGCCAGGCTCCCCCGATGGGCCAGCAGGGAGTGTGGTGGTGAGCGTGATGGATCCATCGTACGTGCTGGTAAAGAGATTGGGCAGCGCCGATGTGGCTCCGGGGACGAGAACAACCGTTGGGCCAGGCTCGCCTGAGGGACCGGCTGGCAAGGTAGTGGTGAGGGTAATGGAGCCATCGTACGTGCTGGTGAATAAGTTCGGCAGGGCAGACGTCGGCAAAGCAGATGTTAAGCCAGGGACCAGGACCACGGTAGGTCCGGGCTCTCCAGATGGACCAGCGGGAAGGGTGGTGGTCAAGGTAACCGAGCCATCGTATGTGCTGGTGAAGAGGCTGGGAAGTCCGCCAACAGAAACGGTTGGGACCAGAATAATGGTCGCACCAGGCTCACCAGAAGGACCGGCAGGAAGCGTAGTCGTGAGAGTGACTGATCCATCATACGTGCTCGTGAAGAGGTTGGGAAGACCACCAACGGAAATCGTCGGGACGAAAATGATGGTGGCTCCAGGCTCACCAGATGGGCCAGCAGGAAGCGTAGATGTAAGAGTAACTGAGCCGTCGTACGTGCTCGTGAACAAACCACCTGCCACATTGGTGGCGCTTGGAACCAGCACAAGTGTTGGTCCAGCAGGCAGGGTAGTTGTGATAGTGGCAGATCCGTCGTACGTACTGGTCAAGACATTTGGTAAGGCTGGAGATCCAGGAATACTCGGGACCAGGACCACAGTCGCAGGGTCTCCCGAAGGGCCAATGGGCAGAGTGGTAGTCAAGGTGACGGAGCCATCGTACGTGCTTGTCAGCACGTTGGGAAGTGCTGGAGCTGTGATGCCAGGAACCAAAACGACGGCGGTTGGGTCGCCAGAGGGCCCAATCGGCAGCGTCGTTGTGATTGTGACTGAGCCATCGTACGTGGACGTAAGAAGGTTGGGGAGACCAGGCACAGTTGCGCTCGGGGCCACACTCGGCACAAGGACCACCTCTGCGGGATCGCCAGACGGACCAATGGGCAAAGTAGTGGTGATGGTAACGGAACCATCGTACGTAGAAGTGAGAACATTGGGAAGCCCAGTCGCAGTCACGCCTGGGACGGCGCTTGGGACCAGGATCACCGTTGCTGGGTCACCCGAGGGACCGATGGGCAAGGTAGTGGTCAACGTGACGGAACCATCGTAAGTCGAAGTAAGAAAGTTGGGCAGTCCAGGCGCGGTGACACTCGGTACAACACTTGGGACAAGGACCACCTCTGCGGGATCTCCTGAAGGGCCGATCGGAAGCGTGGTGGTGAGAGTGACAGAGCCGTCGTACGTAGAAGTAAGCACATTTGGGAGGCCAGCAACGCCAGACGAGGGCACCAAGACCACGGTAGCCGGATCGCCAGAGGGGCCAATTGGCAAGGTAGTGGTAAGCGTGACCGAGCCGTCATAAGTGCTTGTCAAGATATTCGGAAGACCAGCAGCACCCGTGTTGCTCGCGCCAGGTACGAGGATAACCGTGGCCGGATCGCCAGATGGACCGATAGGCAAGGTGGTCGTGAGAGTAACTGATCCATCGTACGTGCTCGTGAGAACATTGGGCAGACCGGCGCCGATCGAAGACGGCACCAGAACAACTGTCGCAGGATCGCCTGAAGGACCAACTGGCAAAGTAGTTGTAAGGGTTACCGATCCGTCGTACGTGCTAGTGAGAACATTGGGCAGACCGGCGCCGATCGAAGATGGCACCAAAACAACAGTTGCCGGATCACCAGAAGGACCAATAGGCAGAGTGGTCGTAAGCGTCACAGAGCCATCGTAGGTGCTGGTGAGAATGTTGGGCAGACCACCAGCGCCATCGCTCGTCGCACCAGGCACCAGGATGACCGTAGCCGGATCCCCGGAGGGTCCGATGGGCAACACCGTAGTGACAGTGACTGAGCCGGCATAGGTGCTGGTAAGCACATTGGGCAGGCCGGGAGCATCCGTTATGGAGGCTCCCGGAACCAAGACGATTGTCGCCGGGTCTCCGGAGGGGCCGGCTGGAAGCACAGTGGTAAGAGTGACCGAGCCGCCATATGTGCTCGTGAGGAGAGTTGGCAGTCCTGGGGCATCGGTGATAGGGCCACTGGGGACCAACACAATCGTCGCCGGATCGCCGGAGGGACCAGCTGGAAGGACAGTGGTGAGTGTGACAGAACCGCCATATGTGCTTGTGAGAATGTTGGGCAATCCTGAGGCGTCCGTAGGAGTGACGCCAGGAACCAAGACGATTGTAGTTGGGTCGCCAGAGGGTCCGATCGGAAGTACGGTTGTGAGAGTGACTGAGCCGGCGTAAGTGCTCGTAAGCACATTAGGCAGTGCTGAGGCATCCGTGATAGTGGCTCCGGGCACCAGGATGATGGTGGCGGGATCACCAGAGGGACCAACCGGTAAGACAGTGGTCAAGGTAACAGAGCCAGCGTAGGTGCTCGTCAAGATATTGGGTGACCCAGGTCCAGCCGTGATAGTAGGGACACTGCTGGGTACCAGAATGACCGTAGCCGGATCACCAGACGGCCCAATGGGAAGGGTAGTCGTGAGGGTGACCGAACCACCATAGGTACTGGTGAAAAGGTTGGGGAGGTTGATGCCAATCGAGAGGTCGATGAGCGGAGGAGTGCTTGGCACCAGAATGACGGTGGCAGGATCTCCAGATGGGCCAACTGGCAGCACTGTAGTGATGGTAGATGGACCTCCATAAGTGCTGGTAAATAGACCTGGAAGGTTGATACCAATAGAAATATCAATGAGTGGAGGAACGGCGCTGCTGGGTACCAAGATGATGGTAGCAGGATCTCCAGATGGTCCCAAAGGTAAGACCGTGGTGAGAGTGACTGAACCACCATACGTGCTGGTGAGCACATTGGGTAGACTGGGTGCAGGCGTGATGGTAGGAGTGGCACTCGGGACCAAGATAACAGTAGCCGGGTCACCGGAGGGGCCGAGGGGCAAGACGGTAGTAAGAGTCGCCGAGCCTCCGTATGTGCTCGTAAGCACGTTGGGAAGACCAGGCGCGGGCGTAGTAGATGGTGTACCACCCGGCACTAAGATGATGGTGGCCGGGTCTCCAGACGGGCCAAGAGGCAGAACCGTCGTGAGAGTGACTGAACCATCGTATGTGCTTGTAAGTACGTTGGGAAGACCGGGAGCAGCTGTGATGGAAGGAATCGTGTTCGGGACCAGGATGACAGTCGCCGGATCGCCCGATGGCCCAATGGGGAGAGTGGTTGTGAGAGTGACCGAACCATCGTAGGTGCTGGTAAAGACATTGGGAAGACCAGCGCCAGTTGTACCAGAGCCGGGCACGAGAACAACAGTTGCTGGGTCCCCAGAAGGTCCAATGGGCAAGACGGTAGTAAGAGTAACCGAGCCTCCATATGTGCTTGTAAGCGCATTAGGGAGGCCGGGAACCGCCGTGATAGAAGGAATAGTGCTGGGAACCAACACAACCGTGGCGGGATCACCGGAAGGCCCAATAGGCAGAGTGGTCGTAAGGGTGACTGATCCATCATAAGTGCTTGTAAGCACATTAGGTAGACCGCCATTGTTGGATCCAGAGCTGGGCACCAACACGACTTCTGCTGGGTCTCCAGAAGGCCCAATGGGAAGTGTGGTTGTGAGGGTAACTGAGCCATCATAGGTGCTGGTGAAAACATTAGGGAGACCGCCATTGGTCGCTCCAGAACTAGGCACAAGAATAACAGTTGCTGGGTCGCCTGAAGGTCCGATAGGCAGCGTCGTCGTGAGAGTGACTGAGCCTCCATAGGTGCTTGTGAGCACGTTGGGAAGGCCAGCGCCATTCGATCCAGAACTGGGCACCAAGATAACTGTGGCAGGATCCCCAGAGGGGCCAATTGGCAGAGTTGTCGTGAGAGTCACCGAGCCGTCGTACGTACTGGTAAGAACGTTGGGCAAACCAGGGGCGGCCGTGGAAGTGGGACCACCGGGGACGAGGATCACGGTCGCGATGTCGCCGGATGGTCCAACTGGGAGAGTTGTTGTCAAGGTTACGGAACCTCCGTAGGTGCTGGTCAAGATGTTCGGTAGACCAGGGGCGGCAGTTGAGCTGGGTACCAAAATCACAGTCGCGATATCGCCAGAGGGACCAACGGGTAGCGTGGTAGTTAAAGTGACTGAACCGCCATAGGTGCTGGTCAACACATTGGGCAGACCAGGCGCCGCAGTTTGGCTCGGTACAAGGATCACCGTGACGGGATCTCCAGACGGGCCAACAGGCAAGGCAGTGGTCAGCGTGATCGATCCGCCGTAAGTGCTCGTCAGAATATTAGGCAAGCCAGGAGCAGGTGTCGTGCTGGGTACCAGGATGACTGTTGCGATATCGCCTGAAGGTCCGACTGGAAGCGTGGTGGTCAACGTGACTGAGCCACCATAGGTGCTAGTCAAGATATTGGGTAGGCCACCAGCGCCGGTCGGGCTTGGTACCAAAATCACCGTCTCGGGGTCGCCAGAAGGACCAACCGGCAAGACGGTTGTGAGAGTGATTGATCCTCCATACGTAGAAGTGAGGACATTTGGCAAGCCAGGAGCAGGTGTCGCACTTGGAACCAAGATGACAGTCGCGACATCTCCAGAAGGCCCAACGGGCAAGGTGGTAGTGAGGGTTACCGAGCCACCGTATGTCGATGTCAAGACATTGGGAAGACCAGGAGCGCCAGTCTGGCTGGGCACGAGAATGACCGTGGCAACGTCTCCTGAGGGACCAACAGGCAATGTGGTGGTCAAAGTGACCGAACCTCCGTACGTAGAAGTGAGGATGTTGGGGAGGCCAGGAGCCGCAGTTTGACTGGGGACCAGAACAACAGTGCCAATGGGCAAGGTCGTGGTCAAGGTGACAGATCCATCGTACGTGCTGGTGAAGAGATTGCTTGGGGCAGCGGGAGCGACAGTCTGGCTCGGCACCAGGATAACGGTCGCCGGGTCTCCAGAAGGTCCGACTGGGAGGGTAGTGGTGAGCGTAATCGAGCCGTCGTACGTCGAAGTGAAGACATTGGGCAATGACGGAACCCCAGTATTGGTAGGGATGAGGATGATAGTAGCTCCAGGCTCCCCAGATGGACCGACGGGCAAAGTCGATGTCAGCGTGACTGAGCCATCATACACACTGGTCAACACTCCGCCAGGGGCAATGGTAGGTGTAGCAATAGGAGAGCTTGGTACGAAGATGACCGTCGCACCGGGCTCGCCGGACGGGCCAGTAGGCAGAACAGTGGTGAGGGTAACCGAGCCTCCGTACGTCTGGGTAAGGATATTGGGAAGACCTGCGGCTGCTGTGCTACCCGGTACCAGAATGACAGTAGCAGGATCACCAGATGGACCGATGGGCAAGGTGGTCGTAAGGGTGACCGATCCGGCATAAGTACTGGTCAAGATGCCTCCAGGGGCAACAGTTGGTGTAGCAATCGGGGAACTTGGCACAAAGATAACAGTTGCACCAGGCTCTCCCGAAGGACCCGTAGGGAGGACAGTTGTCAATGTCACCGATCCACCGTATGTCTGGGTCAGAATGTTGGGTAGACCGGCTGCTCCAGTGCTGCTTGGCACCAATACAACGGTTGCTGGATCGCCAGATGGGCCGATAGGCAAAGTGGTCGTGAGCGTTACCGATCCATCGTACGTGCTGGTCAAAACACCTCCGACAGATGGAACGGACGGAGCAGTGGTCGGGAGGCCAGGAACGAAAATAACTGTAGCTCCAGGCTCACCTGATGGGCCCGTAGGCAGCACAGTCGTCAAGGTCACCGAACCATCGTATGTCTGAGTAAGGATATTAGGAAGGCCAACGGCTCCGGTGCTGGTCGGCACCAAGATGACGGTCGCTGGGTCGCCAGACGGTCCGATGGGCAAAGTAGTCGTCAAAGTGACTGAACCGCCGTAAGTGCTCGTCAAAACGCCTCCAACAGATGGAACAGTTGGTGCTGTAGTAGGCAAGCCAGGAACAAAGATGACCGTTGCGCCAGGCTCTCCTGAAGGACCCGTGGGAAGAACAGATGTCAAAGTCACAGATCCACCATAGGTCTGCGTCAGGATGTTCGGAAGGCCTGCCGCTGCGGTGCTTGTTGGTACCAAGGTGTTGCTTGGTACCAAGACCACAGTCGCTGGGTCACCAGATGGGCCAACCGGCAAAGTAGTCGTGAGCGTGACCGATCCGTCGTAGGTGCTTGTCAACACATTGCCGAGAGCCTGAGTAGGGTCAACGGACGAGGCGCCTGGAGCAGAGGGAACGAAGATGACAGTCACACCAGGGTCGCCCGCAGATCCTGTGGGGAGAACAGTGGTCAACGTAACGGAGCCGCCGTAGGTCTGGGTCAAGACGTTGGGCAGCGTAGGAGCAGCAGTGATGGTTGGAGTGGCGCTGGGAGCACCAGGTACGAAGATGACCGTAGCGGGATCTCCAGACGGACCAACGGGCAAGACTGATGTCAAAGTGACTGAGCCTCCGTAGGTGCTCGTGAGGATGTTAGGTAGGCCCGCAGCACCAGTGTTGCTAGTGATGCCAGGAGTGCCTGGTACGAAGATGACTGTAGCAGGGTCTCCGGACGGACCAACTGGCAAAACTGAAGTTAAAGTAACGGAGCCTCCGTAAGTGCTGGTCAAAACATTAGGTAGACCAGCCGCACCAGAGTTGCTGGTAACACCAGGAGTTCCCGGTACAAAGATGACAGTGGCAGGATCTCCAGATGGGCCAACCGGTAGGACTGAAGTCAAAGTCACCGAACCTCCATAAGTGCTTGTCAGGATGTTGGGGAGACCAGCGGCACCAGTGTTGCTGGTGACGCCAGGGGCACTTGGAATGAAAATGATCGTCTGCGCAGGGTCTCCAGCAGAGCCAGTAGAGATGACGGAAGTCAGAGTAACTGAACCATCATAAATACTGGTCAAAACATTGGGAAGACCTGCAGCACCAGTGTTGCTGGGAACACCAGTCGCGCTTGGCACGAATATAACGGTAGCTGGATCTCCAGATGGACCAACAGGGAGGACCGAAGTCAGAGTCACCGAGCCTCCATAGGTACTTGTCAAGATGTTGGGAAGTCCTGCAGGATCAGTGTTGCTGGGAACAATGGTCGCGCCCGGGACGAAGACAATAGTCTGCGGGGGCACGTTGATACCACCATCAGTAACGACCGACGTAAAGGTGACTGAGCCTGCATATGTGCTAGTCTGGATGTTGGGCAAACCCGGAGCAGCAGAGCTACTCGGCACGAAGATGATTGTCTGTGCTGGCTCACCCGATGGCCCAGTTGGTAGGATTGAGGTCAGGGTAACTGAACCACCGTATGTGCTGGTCAAGACATTGGGCAAAGAGGGTGTACCGGTGGCGCCAGGAGCGCCGGTGTTGCTCGGGACGAAGATGATTGTCTGACCGGGGTCTCCGTTGGTACCGGTAGGCAAGACAGAGGTCAACGTAATAGAGCCTCCATACGTGCTAGTCAAGACATTCGGTAGCGCCGGGCTGAGCGTGGCAGTGGGAGTCGGGATGAGAATGATAGTCGCACCCGGCTCGCCGAAGGGCCCAGTGGGCAGCGTGGATGTGAGAGTGACAGAACCGCCATAGAAGCTGGTGAACAGGCCACCGGCAGTCGGCACTGTAGCAGATGGAGTGACTGTGTTACTAGGGAGGAAGATGATTGTGGCACCTGGCTCGCCAGAAGGACCAGCAGGTAGAACCGAAGTTGATGGCACCAGTCCGCTGTAGAAGCTGGTGAGAACTCCGGCCAATGCGGTGGTCGCGGGAGTGGGCGCAGGAGTGTTGCTGGGAACGAAGATGACTGTGGCACCAGGCTCTCCAGACGGTCCGACGGGGAGCGTAGAAGTAAGAGTGACTGAACCTCCGTACGTGCTAGTGTAGAGACCGGCAGCCAAAGCCGTTGTAGCGGCGGTTGACAGACCGGTGCTGCTAGGAAGGAAGATGACGGTGCCACCAGGCTCGCCAGAGGGACCTGGAGGCAACACGGATGTCGAAGGCACCAAGCCACTGTAGAAGCTGGTAATAACACCGCCAGCAGTGGGCGTTGCTGCGCCTGCTCCGCTCGTTGCACTTGGGACGAGAACTATGACCGTTCCGGGGTCATTGGAGTTGATCGGGGCGACAGTGGTAGTCAAAGGAACTGAGCCGGTGTAGGTGGACAGGAGTGTTGTGAGTACATTGTTGCCAACACCAGGAGCAGCGCCACCAGTCGAGCTCGCAACGTTGCTTGGAACCAAGACAATAAGAGTGCCAGGGTCTCCAGGGTTTGCAGGTGAAGCAATGGCCGTTGAGATAACAGAGCCACCATACGTCGACGTGACAGTAGTAAGAGGAATGGCGGGTGTGGCTGTGGGAGAAGCCAGCACGTTGCTCGGAACGAGAACAACGAGGGTGCCAGTCGAGCCAGTTCCCGATGGGAGCACAGTCTGGAATGAGGTGACCGAGCCTCCGTAGGTGGAAGTGAGAGTGGCAAATACCGCACCGGGTGAGGATGTAATAGCTGGAGCACCAGCACTGAGGGTACCAGGGTCGATGGTAGAGCTCGGGACAAGGATGACGAAAGTTCCCTGGGAGTTGGTTCCGGTAGGAAGGATAGTCGAGGTCGACGGCACGGATCCGGTGTAGGTGCTGATGAGCGTCGCGAAGTTGGCACCTGGAGTAGTTCCAGGGGTTGCCGTGGCGCTTGGAAGGAGGACGATGACGGTCCCCAAGCTGTCAGTGCCAGCGGGAGCGAGCGTAGTGGTCGATGGAACCGTTCCGGTGTATGTGCTGATGAGAGTCACGAGCGACGCGGGTGCCACAGTCGGAGTTGCAGCTGGCCCTGTGGTTGGAATGTTGATCGCAGGACTTGAAGTCGCAGGATCCTGTCCAATAGTGGGAGTCTGGATAAGAACGAGACCAACGCTGCCGCTAGCAGTAGGCAGGATAGTGGTGATCTGAGTTCCGGTGCCAGAATATCCAGTCTGAACCGTGATGAACGAGAAGCCAGGAGCCGTAGGTGTAGGGGCAACATTCGTAACCGCGGGTGAAGAAGGAGAGAAAGGAGTCTGGATAATGATGGCTCCAACGGTCTCAGTTCCAGATGGGAATACTGTGGCGGTAGTCGGCACAGCTCCCGTGTAGCCAACGGTAGTAGTGAGGAAGGAAAGGCCAGACGTGGGAAAAGGTGTCTGGATAATGACAGTTCCTGGATCTCCAGCGTTCACAGGTGCCAAGGTTGTAGTCGCCGGTGCAGTGCCGAAGAATCCACTGGTCAGAGTAACAAACGATGCTGGAGCAACGGTGACCGAAGGAGCAGCAGCAGAAGTAGGCGTCAAGACGATCAAAGTCGTCGGGTCGCCGGCGGAAGAGGGAGTCAGCGTAAGAGTAGATGTGGCAGAGCCAGCAAACCCGCTCGTGATGATGACGTTGGGCAAAGCGTTCGTGACGCCGGGCGCCGCGGTTCCAATAGATGGAGTCTGGACAACCACACTTCCAGGGTTGGTGCCCGAGGGAGGGAAAGTGACTGTGGTGGGCAGAGTACCGGTGCCAACAGTTGTGGTCAGGATGAAGCCGCTGGGCACAGTAGGTGGTGGAGGGTCACCGCTGATGCTGATCAAAACAGTCGTGCTGATTCTTGTGGGAGTCTGGATGAGAACGATGCCAACAGAGTTGGTTCCCGTAGGAAGAATCGTCACCGTTGTCGGCTCAGTGCCGGTGAATCCAGTGACAGCCGTGATGAAGCTGTTGGGAGCAACAGCAACGCCAGAGGTAGGAGTCTGGACGACGACAACTCCGGGCTGGGTGCCGGTTGGCGGCAGAGTAAAGGTAGTTGGCGTGGATCCAGTGTAGCCAGTGGTGACAGAGACAAAGCCGGGCGCGGTGACAGCCGGGTCAACGATGGGAGTCGTTGCGCCTCCGGCTCCGGGAGCAGTGGGGGTCTGAACAATCACGGTTCCGATAGTGTTGGTGCCGGAGGACAAGACAGTAGATGTCGCCGCAACAGGTCCGCCGATGGAAATTGTGATCTGAATGTTCGGCAGACCCAACGAGATGGATGGCACAGTTACAGCACCTCCAGAGAAGATGGGTGTCTGAACGACCACGGTGCCAACCGTGTCAGTTCCACCAGGGAAGTAAGTAATCGTAGTCGGCGCAATGCCAGTGAATCCCTGGGTAGTAGTGATGAAGCTATTGGCCGCCACGTTGGTGGCAGAGACCGAGGGGTTCGTGAACGGGGTCTGAACGACCACGAGACCAGAGCCACCGGAAGACGGCTGCACGGTAACGGTAGTGGGGAGTGATCCGGTGAAGCCAATCGTGGTGGTCTGAAGGATGTTGACCTCCACAGAAACCGTGGGCGTCTGGATCAAGACGACGCCCAGGGTGTTGGTTCCCGTCGGCGGCAGGGTGGTAGTCTGAGGAACGGATCCGGAGAAGCCCTGGAAGAGAGTCGTGAAGACACCAGCGCCTGGAGCGGCAGTCGCGGCGACAGTCGGTGTCTGGATAATCACGAGGCCCACCGAGTTGGTCCCGGAGGGAGGGAGAATGGCGGTTGTTGCTACCGGTCCGCCCTGGGTCAAGGTGATGAAGGAACCCAGGCTGAGACTGGGGATAGACAGAATGATGGTGGGCAAGTCGATGGAAATGGGCGGGATAGTGAGTCCAGGAAGCACCAAGCCAGAGTTGACTGCGCCTGGAGTGGTAGCAGCACCGGTGGGCAGGGCTGTGAACAAGGACGAAGGCACCTGGACGAGAACGGTGCCAACAGTGTTTGTTCCCGATGGCAACAGCACGTTCGTCTCCACGGCGGGAACGTCAGCCGGTGTTGTGACCGTCACGAAGGGCACACCAGAGGGGAGGTTCAGCTGAGAAGCAGCTGGAGTGGCAGGGGTTTGGACGAGAACAGTTCCTAGAGTGTTTGTTCCCGTGGGAAGCAACACGTTTGTTAGCACAGCGGGGACATCACCAGCAGTAGTTACCGTAACGAATGGCACTCCGGAAGGGAGGGTCAGTTGGGGAGCAGCTGGGTTAGTAGGAGTAAGGACGACAACCGTTCCTGGAGCGCCGCTGACAGCAGGAGGAACGGTAAAGGTCGAGGGCTGAAGGCCGTTGAAGCCGCTCTGGATGGTGGTGAAGGCACCCAGAGCTCCAGGTGCAAGACTGGATGGGACTCCGTTGGCACCAGGATCCTGTGTCTGCGTCTGGCCTGGCTGAGCAGTAGCAGTGGCCAAGGGGTCGCCCAGAACCACAACCGTGCCGACGGTGTTGGTTCCTACAGGAGGGATAGTCAGCGTGGTGGGGATTGATCCAATAGCTGGTCCGGTGAGGGTGGTGAAGGAACCAGGCAGAGCCCCTTGGGACGCCGCGGCAGTCGCAGCAGCTGGGTCCGGAGTCAACACCAAGGCGACGGGAGCAGTAGATGCAAGGCCCTGTGGGAGGACGGTAACGGTGGTAGGTAGAGAACCGCCAAATCCAGTGGTGATGGTGTTGATCACATTAGGAGCCACCGTCGCAGCAGAGCCCGCCGGGTCAGGCGCAGCAGAACCGGCAGCGTTGGTCAATGGCGTAAGGACCAAGACTTGAGAGGCCGTTTGGGTTCCCAGAGGAGGCAATGTGACCGTGGTCGGCACGGATCCGGAGTAGCCGCTAGTGAGGATATTCGGGAGAACACCTGCGTTCGAAGCCGCCGGGTTTGCGGCGGATACGCTAGGGGCGGTAGCTTGCGTAGCAACGTTCGTGACAGGAGGTACAGCCGTAGTTAAGGCAGAGTTTCCAATAGTGACTCCCGCGCTGAAGCCGACGGGCAATTGCTCGACGATAGTGGCAACCGGGTTGTCGCCCTGAGAAGGGAGGGTCAAAGTCAACGGATCTGTGCCATTGTAGTCACCTCGGATAGTGACTAGGTTGGCAGCCAAAGCGGCTGGTGCACTCGTGGCCGGATCATCTCCGCCCAGTCCCACGGCGACTACAATAGTTCCGGGGGCAGAAGCAGAGTTTCCTAACAAGGGCAAGGTGATTGTGGCACCGAGACCGGCAATCGGGAGCGCGGCCAAGGTTCTGAAGAGAGCAGGCCGAGCAGTGATTGAGGGAGTCTGAACAATAATGGTACCCAGAGTCGGGTTGCCGGCGGGAACGATGGTGAGCGAGACTGGAAGAGATCCAGTGTTGCCATCAGTCGTAATGGTCGTAAAAGGGCCGGTGAAGGAGGTGATGGCAGGCTGGACAACAACAGTACCGGTCTGGCCGTTGCCTGAGGGAGGAACAGTGATGGTGACTGGTGATCCTCCCGTGTTACCGCCGGCCGTGATAGTTCGGAAAGGTCCGTTGAAGGCCGTAGGATCCAGGCTTTGAACGAGAACGGTGAAGACGCCGTCCGTCGCACCAGCGGCCGGGGGAACAGTCACAGTCGCGGGAGCATCACCCTGGCCGCCGCCAACGGTAACGGTCGTAAACGGACCAGCAGCGGGGCCTGTGAAGCCATCCGTGGTCTGTACAATAACAGTTCCGGTCTGTCCTTCGGGTGCCGGGATGGAAAGTGTAGTTGGCGTGGCTCCGGCAACGCTGATGGTCTGGAAGATGGCACCAAGAGCTGGTGCCGCAGTCTGTACGATTACCGCACCAACACTGCCAGCCGTCGGGATAAGCGTGAAGGTTCCGGTCTGGCCGTTTTGGCCCTGGATGCTCACGGTTGTGAGCCTAGCAAGGAAATCGGCCTCGCCTCCCGGAGTCTGGATAATCTGAAGCACAGCATCGGCCCCGGTCTGCGTCACACCCCTGTTACCGGGCAATGTGATGGCAGCGGGTGTAACACCGGCGTTACCGAAAACCGTAATGACGTTCTGAGGACCAGTAACAGTGATGGAGAAGCTGTCAAAAGTCTGTGCAAAGACCGTACCCGCAGATCCAGCCGAGTCCACGACGGTGAAGTTCCTGGGCACGCCCGTGGCACCACCAACGTTGACGGTAGCAAAGATCTGAGGCAAAGCCGCAGCACCTCCAGATGCTGTGGGAGCGATTGTGACCGGAACTGATGCAGGGCTGGGTCCGGGGTTGATAACGCTGCTCGCTCCTGGCGCGGACTGCGTGACAAAACCACTCGGGTCGATGGGAGTGCCCAGGACAGTTGCTGTCTCTGGAACACTACTGCCGGTGGTGGCCGCAATGTTGGCAAAAGGGGTGAAGACCAAGTAGGTTCCGACGCCATCAGGACCAGAGGGGAAGATTGTGATTGTGCTTGCCTCAGATCCGGCCTGGCCACCTCTTGTGATGGTGACATAGGCGTTTGGAATTGACGAGACCTGGTCAATGATTCTAAGTGGTCGTATTAGCTTCAATGTCTAGGTATGAACTTTGAGAAGCTCGAATAACTTACCTAGTAACTTGGGACGTAAGTGTTCCTAACTTGTCAATTTCGGTGACCAAGGTCAATGGAGCATTAGTGATGGTGAGGGTCAGCCCATCATCGAGTACCAGGACAGTGTTGACTGGTAAGTAGGCGCTGATGTAGATGGGCTGTCTGACGATGAACTGCACCGGCTGTACTTCGACAGATGTGATGCCGGCAGCACAGACGGGATTATCGGGAAACTGAGGCAATGCGATGGACGGCCAGTACTGGCTGGCAGCGACCAACAGGCCCAGGATGGTGTTGAACTTCATGGTGATGATGAAGCGCCGCTGCGTGATTCCAGCACGATAGTCTCAAGACCGTCCAAGACACCAGGTCTGGAAGCCGAGCAGCAGCAAGATTAACCTTAGTTGTGTAACGTCGTTGTTGCTAATCAGAGCCGATCCTTTTCTTTTGTTTCCTTTCGGAATATTAAGGTATAGTAGAGTCGTACAAGGAAATATCTGGTCGACTATTGACCATGCAGTGGCATCTCTCGAATAAGACGGGAGGCGCCGCTGTTTCAACGGGGGGAGGAAAAAGAGAAAAAAGGCAAACAAGAGAAGCGTTCGAGGCCAAAGTGTGTGGACGCCGTGAAACAAATACTAGATGTGTTTCTTGTACGACGGTCAACGAAGATGGCTCGATTGTTTTAATGGTGAGGTTCTGCTGTAGCTTGTTGCCGTGAGACTGGTGCGTTCCTAACCGACAGAATGGGCCGAAGGCGTGTGGAATGTCGTATCCTATGCGGAACGATGGCAGGATCTGTCTTCGGCCCAAGGCGCATGCCAAGCTGGCTCACAATGTCTCTGTGTGATGAGGATGATGGATACTCTACCTCGGACTCGATTGCAACGTCCAAGTAATGACGAGATGTAAAATAGGGCAGATATCGGAAGCGAAGAGAGGCAAATAGAAGAGCGAGAGAAGAGGCGAGAGGGAGGGAGAGATGGCGAGCAAATCGTGGCGAACCTGTTACCGGGCCGAGTGCCTCTCGTCGAGGATACGGCAGAGCCATGAGAGTGAGGCGAGAGCCATCTCATTCGAAAACAGGAGGATTGATGCCTCGCCTGACTTCATGGTTACCTATTCTGTGACTGAATCTGGCCGAGTTCTGCTCGTTCCGGCCAAAGTTGTGATGCTGTTCAGAAGCGATTGGTGAGAATGGGGTCTGGCGTTTTTGGAGATCTAAGACAAGACCGTCAACCGAGAGGGAACTAGAGCCGCTTCGGGAGCCCACGGCGGATTTTCCGCGCTCGGCGTAGGTGAGATGGAGAGCGAGACTGCTGTGATTGCTACTAGGTAACACTCAAGAATGCTCAGAGTTGGCCCATTGTAGACAATCACATTGTTTGTTCGTCGGTAGCGTCAGCGGCGATGGGTGATGTGGTTGAGAGCCACAGGAGCCTAGGTATGCGGGCAAGGTGAGAAAACACATAGCTAAGGTGATTTGACTAGCATTAGACTCCCGTCATCTCAGATTCCGCGCCCGCAGGAACGACGACGGTTGAGACGACAACATCCGCCTGGCTCTATTGCTTTGCGGGTCGTCCGAAAGAGGGGAGGATTTGCTCCCGTTCTTAGTAGCTTTTCTTGCACCTTACCGACCTTACTTATTAGATGCTTAGCAGAAGCTCTCTCCGCTAGCTGCCGCCCAGGTCTAGGATGACTTGCAGCCTCCGTACGAAAGCGTTGCTGGTGGGTCATAGCTATCTGGTCGTTTCTGTGTGTGCTTGTGTGTGTGTGTGTGTGTGTGTGTGTGTGGGAGGTCAGTCAGACGCAATAAGGTGCGAGACGGTTCGAGGGAGCTGAAGTCCATCTTGACCAAATCCGTCCAAGCTTCTCCTAACTCCCCAGCAGGAGGCGTTCAATGTAGCCGAACCGTTGCTGGCTGTGGGCTACTTGCTGTGGCAGGCCCTCCTCCTTCGGCCGCCTCTTTCAACCTGCTGTGGTGCCTCTTTGGGAATATTACCGCCACAGCCCGGAAACGAACTGACGGGAAGTGGACGGTGAGTCGGAGGTCCCCCATCCCGAGGGGGTGTGTGCATTACCTAGTCAACTCTGTCGGTCTGGTCTGTGGGAGTGGAGGAGTGAGGAGTTGTTGTCAAATAACACACTAGCAGAGTTAGACCGCAACTAAATACGGGAAGGGAATGCGCGAGATCTACGCAACAGTTGGCGCGGTTTTCCCCGGGGGAGCCGTCGCGGTTGGTCAGCCGTCATCCCGTCTAGTTCCAAGACACACACCCTACAAAGAGCCTAGACCCTTGAACTCAATCTCACCGTTCCCACGGAAGCTTTGACAGTTATCTCTTATTTCCGATCTCTGCTTCTTGTTCGGATCCGGTTACCACTCGCCCTTGACCAGGACGGCCCGTGACAGTTGAAGCTATCCCAACCTGTCTTCCCGAACAAGACAAGCAGTCCTAGGAGACTACAGATACCCTCACACACGACCGCACGCGGACAGTGGCGCTGAGCGAGGCCAGGTATTGGAGTCTCTGGTCAGAAGACATCACGATCGCAGTCACAAAGACCTTGGCAAGTATGCATTCAGCCGCTCTCTCGAGCAAACCCACTCATACTGTTCCTTTGCAGCTCTATGGGGGCTTTGTGGGAATTGCGTCTGTTCCGGCCGTGAGACTCTCGAGAGGCTCTTAGGGGGGCGTCTTTGCAGTCCCCAAGAGGGTTGGATGAACAATAGAGTTGACGCCCGAGTGGACATGACGCTCCGGAGATGGATGTCAGATGTCGACAAACGGCTTGGCGGCTGGGGTGAAGGCGGCACGGGAGGCATACGATATCGGTCCATCTTGAGATCAAGATGTCCTGATATAGAGTTTGTCCGCATTCCTTCTTCAGCCCGAGATTCCTGCCACTCTTGGACCCTGAATCCAACCGCGACAATCTTGAACCATCCAACATCAGCTCACTCCAGCTCACCTCTCGCCTCTTACAAAAATGTTGCAACTCATCTTTGCATTCGCTGCCGTTGCGGCTGGCGCAAGGGTCTACCGCAGACAAGAAGATTGTTCCTCCACCACAACGTTAGATGCCCTCACCGTTACCAGGGTTGAGCCGATCTCGATCTATATCCTCCCTCAACAACTTGCACCGACAGGGACCAACAATGATCCCTTCACCGCAGTCTATACAACAGTCTATCCCACCTTCTGCCCGGAGTGCTCTCAGGGTCTGAGGCCAGAGACTTACACCATCACCCAGACCTGCACCGGCATCACAGGATGCCAACCATCAGGCAGTGTCCTTCCTCCGGGCTTCACTACAATCCAAGCCACTTGCACCGACTGCCCAACACCATTCAGTGCCGTCCTCACTGTCCCTCAAGCGACTGATGCCGTCGTCACTTCAACCTTCCTCGAGACCATCACAGAGCCTGGCTTGACCACGACGCGCACAATCGTCCAGACCTGCGCGAGCGAGCCTTGCTTGCCTCAAATCACCAATGTCCCTGGACGCGTCTCTACCTTCGATGGGGGTCTCTTTGCCGAGCCGGTTACACAAACAGCCACAGTGTCGGTCTCAGTCACCGTGACCGACAAGTCAACTGCAACCGTCACTGCCGATGCTGATCCATCCTTCCGTCCTGGCAACTTCAACAGCGGTGCCGGACACGTCGTCTCTTCAGACAAGTCTCTTGTTCTTTGCGTCAGCGCATTTGTTCTTTTGTTGATCATGTCTTCATAAGCAAGCGAGCGGGTGGAGCGAGCGGGAAAATGTGTGTGTGCCACAGATTGTGGATGATGTTGATGGCCATTAAGACTCATGAACTCTTAGCCTGCGTATTGCTTCATGTTGCCTCTACTGCTTCTCAGGACAATACTTGATACCAATTGTTTTCAATACGAGCCTTTGAGGGCTTTTACTTTCATTTCCTTGTATAACCTTACTTCGGTCCAGTATATACCCTCATCATAGTACCTTATCCATCAAAGGATCGTCAACATTTGTTCCATTGAGTAGATATTAGATATACACAAAATCAACGAGGTCTGAGTACTTCTTCTTCAAATCAAATTCGATCATAAGATTACTTGCTCCATTTCTTGATCGCGACCATTCTGCGCATTCTTCGTTTTCTTTCACTACCACGACTACTTGGCCTTAGTTGGAGATGAATCTTTGTGCCAATACCACTAATAAAAGTTGTGTAACTATCACCATTCTACATCCGACTCGCGAAAAGCCCGCTTTTGAAAGATGCTAGATCCCGCAATATTAGAGTGCGGGTAGCAATCAGATCATGAGGGTCCCCCTGATATTAGTCACATTTTGGGGTTACACGCGAATTCCAGGGTTCGAAAGCCCAGTGCCTCCCTTCCCCCGTCTGGAAGTAATATCCCGCCTTTTGGGGAAAAATAAGAGTGATCTGCGTCTCTTGGCCATGCCTCCCATTGTCAAAAGAAATACGCGTCGTCGGGTCTCGTCTGCATGTCATTTTCTGGACGATCATTTCATCACGGCCCTGTCCATCGGGTCTCGATGTGACGACAAACCCCTGTGACCCCATTGACCCCCCCAGGAACCATCCCGAGATCATGGACATGGGCACATATGGATCCGAGAGTGAGGTTTGACCTCATGCTCGGCTCTCGGATCTGCACAGCTGAACATCTGGGAGTCTTGGAAATGTCTGCATTCGTTGAACTTTGGAAGCCATCTTGAACCCTGCTGACTGGATGTCGCAGCGGCTGGAACTAGGACTGCTGATCATCTGCGATTCCGTCTGGTCTATTCTAAATTCTATCTTTACCCTTCTCTTGCGGGGCCGTTTCGCCGCACTCTTCCTCCTCCCGCGGGACCCCGGCCGTAGCTACACAGGCTATTATCTCACACTTTTTTTTTCTTGTTTACCGGCCCGTACTCACGGGTAAACCCTCGGCTCGCGCCTGATCTGATGATGTGTCTGGATTGGCGGGAGGGTCAAATTCCGCGCAAGCCACGGTTGTCACTAGCCCATTTCTCCTCATTCCATCGACAAAGGCAGCGCTACGCAAACTCTCTGCCCACCCGTTGCGACCAGGCTGGCCAGCACTAAGATCTGCAAATCTCCTCCCGTTGCGTCTGTGCGTGATGCAAGATGGCCCTCTCTTCTCTCTACTTGTTGCCAGCCGGGTGGGATGTGAAATGTGATGAGATGTGACTCGAAACTGTCGCCCCCGGTGACATCTCTGGTGGCATAATTGTGGCATAGATGGTGTATGCCACCCCTCAACGTCGACGCAGAGACGATAGGTACGCCCTGGGTAACTATCTAAGTTAATCCGTCAATGGTTTCGTGTAAATCTTTTCTCATTTTTCCTCCTTTGCGAATATGTGGCGTGACATCACTTCACTTCGTTCGTGAAGGAAAAAAAAACCGCCGTCAAGGCCCCAGTCATGCAGATGATGTCGGTGCCGCAGCCTTCATCACCTGCTCCAACCACCAAACGTGAATGCGGACATCGTCAGTGAGCTCAGGGTGGAAACTCGTGGCAAAGATGTTGTGCTGCCTCACAGCGACAACATCACCGACCGAGTCGTCCGCAGTGCTCTGGCTGACGCCCTCAGCGGCCTTGGTCTTTCGCCCCGGAAGAACGGCAAGGACCTCGACAGCCGAGGAGGCCGGCTTGTCGCCCTTCTCGCCCGCCTCGGTGGAGAGGATCTCCTCAACGATTGGGGCGCGGATGAAGACGCCAGGGTAAGGGGATGACGCCGTTTTCGTGTTGCCGTCGCCCTGCGTCAGGAAGGGCAGGTCTAGATCAGCGACGAAACTCTCAATTTGTCGACCAAAGTGGTTGCGGTGGACGCGAACGCCCAGGCCGCCGATGAGCTCTTGGCCGCCCTTCTTGGTGGCATTTGCCTCATCAGCGAGAAGGATGGCGCCGGCGCAGGTTCCCCAGACTGGCTTACGGTCGACTCTAAAAAGAAGAATAAGAGTTAGACCTTGTCTCACGGGAAAACTCTCTCCAAGACCTCCAAGGTATTCGCAAAAAGTGAGTGAGTGCGTGAGTGAGTGAGAATACTAGTGAAAAGGCAACCGAATGAGGTGTGGAATTCACTCAATTTCACACATGACATCATGAACGCAAACTCGGATCTTTGGTGGGTGAGAGTTGAGCGAGGTGGCTTACTTGACGAATTCCTTGAGGGGTTCCATCAACCCGGACTGCGCCGCGATAAACGAGATGGTTGTGCTCTCTCCGCCTGGAATGATGAGGGCATCGCAACTACGGAGCTCTGCCTCGGTGCGGACCTCGATGGCAGCGATCTCGGGTCTCGGGCTTGGCACCGAAGACTCGGCCGTAGCGAGGTAGACGGCGGCCTTCCGTACGAGCTGGACATGTTCATGGAAGCCGCCTTGAAGAGCCAGAACGCCGATAGTGAGAGAAGGCATTTTGAGGAGTGTGATGTGAGATTCAACGTTGTGAGGCTTGTGGCATTCAGCAGGGTTCTTGAGGATGATGGGTAGTAATAGAGTCGCAAAGGATTCCGAGTGTTGTGTTTGAGTCATTTACACAGACTCTGAACGACTGAAGTCGGACACCACGCCCCGGACCAGTGAAGAGCAGCGAAAGATTGAAGGCTATCCGCGCAAGATGATTACTGTGTAGGATAACGGGGATTTGGGGGTTGCTTCGTTGGCCTTGGCGACAACGGTCTCGTTGAAGACCCTTGCTAGCTAAAGTATGGTACTTTATGTTGCCCGCACTGCAGTAATCGGCGGTTTAGTCAGAGAGGTTGGCTAGCAGCCATGTAACGGTGGGCTTAGCAGTAGTTCGTCGCCGACTCGCTCCGCTGTAGGTAGTCCACAGATTGTAGACCAGGTATGTCCCAACTGCTGTGGGCGCAAAGGGCGTAAAGGGCGCGGGGCTGCTTGATGTCAAGACCAAAGATCCATGCAAACGGTGTTATTCTACTTGGTAGTTGATGTCAAAGACTGGCGGAGCAACGGGACAGGGAAAGGCGTCCGTCAGATGGAGTCACGGATGATGGAACTGCAGCGGCGGCGGCGAGAGAAGATTCCATGCATACGGGGCTTATTCCAGCTTGACTCTGCAGCTCGGGCGGAACAAGATGGGGCGATCTGGGTGTTGTCCCGCGCGGAACAGAACTTGAAGGGAGCGGCATGGAGGAGGGGCCGAGGGGCATCGCTCGGATCTACATCCGATGACAACCGCTCTGCTCTCCGCCCGCCCTTCAGTCTTTGGTAACTGTCGCCGCCGTTCGGAGCATGTGGAAGATCGGTAGAAACTTATCACCAATTGTGGAGGAAGCATTTGGCTCAGCCGGGTTGCGAGTTACCAGGGTGAGATGCACATTGGTATTACGATTACATACGCTATATGCGCGCATTGTCAGAGCGACCCATGATCAAGAGAATATGTCGGGCCATGATCCATCCACAACACGAACAAGTCCCACAGCACGAATCCCTCAGCTTTCTCCTTATCTGGCAATACCAAGGGAAGCGTGTCAAGAGTCCAGACATCCAGAACTGTCTCCCGCCACCCGTTCAAACACCGGTGCGTGGGACTGGGCCGCCCTCCGCGCGCCCGCCATGGCCTACGACTTTGCCTTCGGGGGATACTTCGATGACACTGCCATTCCATTAAGGTTCTCCATGTACCGGGTCCCGGAGTAACCGTATCTTGCCTTTCCGAGATCGGGCCCTGACCCGTCGTCCCCCCCTCCATGCTCGCTGCAGGCCATCCATCTCACAGAGTCGCAGTCTACTGTGCAGTAGGTACACCGTAGTCATGACTATCTGCAGACTTGCTGGGTGGTAAGCTCGGCCCTAGGAGTCCCCTACGGCCAAGTGTCGCCGCCGACTCAGTCGCGGACCACGCGCTGCTTTGCTCGGCTCGCCTAGGCGGAGGGGTTTTTCTGTACCACCACCGTTCAGTCTTGTTCTCCAAGCAAATGGAAGCGATCCGCGGGAAAGACGGGATGACTCGGTACAGCAGAAGTGTAAAATTTTTCTCTCTCCTTCGTCCAATCTTGGACCCCTCGCTGAACATGCCGTGTCATCATCGAAGTTGTTGTCTGCCGCCATATACATATTTGCCCCCCCTTCGTTCACATCTTATTCTTGAGACCCCTTTTCCCCGGATTTCATGACATACAACCAGACCCATCGTGAAGCGGAGCATCTTGAATCCTCGTTAACCATTTTGAGGCCCTCCTTTCTCTCTGATTGATTGAAAAAAAAAGATACCCCTCACTTCCAGAGCCGTTCTATTCCCATCTCTTTCACTCAGACCTTCTGTATCATCCCACCTCACAACCTCTTCGACTCAGTATTATCGCTCGTCTCATAGCGGTTCATCCTTCTCAAAGATCCCCCCCCGAAAAGTTACTACTCAAATTCATATCACAATGACCAACAACGACGCACTCAAGCCTAACGGCACCAACGGCGATGCCAAGAACACGTTCGCCGTCAAGGCCGGACTCGCCCAGATGCTCAAGGGAGGTGTCATCATGGACGTGACCGACGCCGCCCAGGCCCGCATCGCCGAGGAGGCCGGCGCCTGCGCCGTCATGGCCCTGGAGCGCGTCCCGGCAGACATCCGCAAGGACGGCGGCGTCGCCCGCATGTCCGACCCTGCCGTCATCAGGGAGATCCAGAATGCCGTCACCATCCCCGTCATGGCCAAGGCCCGCATCGGCCACTTTGTCGAGTGCCAGATTCTCGAGGCTCTCGGCGTCGACTACATTGACGAGAGCGAGGTCCTCACCCCGGCCGACAAGGTCTACCACGTCGAAAAGGCCGACTTCAAGGCCCCCTTCGTCTGCGGCTGCCGCAACCTCGGCGAGGCCCTGCGCAGAATCGCAGAGGGCGCCGCCATGATCCGCACAAAGGGCGAGGCCGGCACCGGCGACGTCGTCGAGGCCGTCACCCACGTCAAGCAGGTCACCAGAGACATTGCGCGCGCCAAGGGTGTTCTCGCGACCGAGGGCATCTTGGGCATCCGCGCCCTGGCGAGAGAGCTCGAGGTCGACCCTACGCTCCTCCAGCAGACGGCCGAGCTCGGCCGTCTCCCCGTCGTCAACTTTGCCGCCGGCGGCGTCGCCACACCCGCGGACGCGGCGCTGATGATGCAGCTCGGCTGCGACGGTGTCTTTGTCGGCAGCGGTATCTTCAAGTCTGGCGACCCGGCCAAGCGCGCCAAGGCCATCGTGAGAGCGACGACGCACTACAAGGACGCCAAGGTCCTCGCCGAGTGCAGTGAGGGACTTGGTGAGGCCATGGTCGGCATCAACTGCGACAGCTTGAAGACTGAGGAGAAGCTGGCCACCCGTGGGTGGTAAGCAGAGGTGCTGGGATGCTCAGGAGCTTAGACTGCTAGGTGGCAGCGTGTGTGTGAGATTTGGGATGTTCATATGGGTTCATGACTCTGCGATATGAAAAGCAGTGATTTTCTTTTTCAACCAAGACATGGAGGCATTGTGGCCGCATCAGCTAGCGAAGCCGGGGGAGTCCTTCTTCTACGGAGCATTTGGAAAAAAATTGGGTATAATAAAGTCTACCGCGTTTGAGGCTGAATCTTTAGTTGCTCATTCTCTTTTGGTGATGTCTCAGAGTGACTCGCTGTAATTCCATGAGCAAAGAGCACGCACCCATTCCCGGTGTCTACCACACCACCTTCATGACTCTGGTTCAAGGTTTCTGACACGTTCTATGCAGACGAGGAATTGTTCTAGAACTTTCAATTGTAAATGATCAAACAACCTCAACCAAGACTTCGCGACGAACAGCTCCGGCTTCATAGCAGCACCACTTTGCAGTGGACCTCGAAGATAGCGGCGGACATAGCTCAGTTGGGAGAGCGTCAGACTGAAGTGGGTTCTGAACCCTAGAAACTTCACTCAATCAATCTGAAGGTCGTGTGTTCAATCCACACTGGCCGCAACTTCACATTTTGCTCAGGGCGTGCGCACTTCATTTTGTGTTGATGTTGTGTTTTATGGCGTCCTTGCTGGTTTGATGTCTTTTTCCTTTTAATGTATTCTTGAAGATGTGACCATAAAGTAAGTAAGTAAGTAAGTAGTAGTCGTTGTTACGGAGTGAAATGTGGAGTTGGCTCATGAGAAAACGAAGTACATCGTGTTTCTTGCCTTTTGTAAATAAACGTCAGACTCTCTCTCTCTCGCCACTAACCTTACAGATAAACTTCCTTTCTTTGGTACTGAGCGAGGCATTGATCAAGCTCGTGATTTAGATTTCCAACTTGACCATAATACAGTTCTTCGGATGAGTATACTGCTTGCAGTGGATAGACTAGATATGAGTGCTGCTTCACCTTCATGCTTACAATTACCTAGGATCACCTACGATCACTCTCTCATCTTTGCACGCCCTCAGTATATTCTTGAGTCCCCTTTTTGGTTGATCCCTTACGGCGCCTACCGAATTCCTCAAAAGTATACTAATACTAATTGACCTCTCAGAATGAAGTCATATTGACCAAAATACCTCAAGCTTGTCCATCTTCACCAAAGATCGGCGATGTTACTTTACCGTCTTTCTGTAGAAGCTATCTAGACAACATTCACCGACGCAAAGTCTCTTCTCCAGTGTCGCCCATGACGTTTTTCGGGCCCCCGAGTTGGATCGTCACGAAGATGAAGCAAGCCAAAGAACGCCCAGCATGTGGCACGGCAATTCTGCACGGGTTGGTTCTTCAGGAAACACTTTGTTGTAAGCATCAGATTGGACTGCCTGACTTAACCACATTGAGTTGAACGTGGCTTGAAGCATTTCGCCCACGCAGTGAAGCTCCGAAAGAAAGCACGTTTCGTCTTTGACAGCAACGAGGGGTAATACAAGCAGCTCACGAGATTCCATTCAGGAACCAGAAGCCTCAATCTTCCACACAGAGGTGTGTCCTCAGACAAGACCTCTCCATCGGACGATCCCAGCATACATCTCAGATCCAACAAGTGGCAGCAAGTAGGCCAAGCGCTCTCCCCTGGCGGCGTTGCACCGTGTCTAACAAGTTCATGTAGTGAGAAAAGACGAAATAACGCCTTTCCCGTCAACATGGCTGTGGGACGCCCTGGCTAATAACTAACAACTGTCGACCAGGCCCAAGCTCTTCTCAAATCCATTTGGAATCTTGGGAGGGGGTGAAGTCTACCCATCTAGGGCTGAAAACAAAGACATTGAGAGAAAAGTGCTCAAGAATGGCCAGGAATGGATTTATGGCGCGGGGGTGAGCACACTTGTTTAGTTCCCGAAGGCTTAAAAATACCTAAAAGGCTTAACAATCCCTCGGGACCACCGATCTTCTTTGAAGCCCAACAAGTCCGGTTTGAAGTCCGGCTGCCCGCTTGGGAAGCAAGTGGAATAGTAGATTCCTGTTCTGTCCTGCCCTGTTCAGCCTGTCTGTCTGCTTGTTATTCTAGAGAGAAAATCGCAAGGCGCGTATTCTCTGGTGACAATGTCTCAGCCAACATCGAGATGCTCAAAATAGCGCATCTATGCCTTGGAGATGTTGGAACTTTTGGTGTTTTTGAATCTTGATTACATTTGTGAACCAGGAGCGCCGTGCGCCTTGTCCATGGTTCCAATCCTGATGAGGATTCGCTATGCGGAGTGTTATGTTTACAGATATATTACAGTATCTTGTACAAGCAGCCTCGCCTCTCTCTCAGGCCTTGGCAGCAGTTATCCATCACCATTATACTATACACCGGGAGTCCTAGTATCGCGCACTACCTCTGCGCTCCCTGAGGCTATGGCGGACCCTTCGCGCGTAACGCGCCACCCTAGATTTGACATCGAGATTGTAGCCTGGCATGGTGCCAACAGCCTGGGAGAAGACCCCCAGCTTGCCGCCACGGAACGAGTCTAGGGCCAGCTCAATGGTATCGATGAGGCGCAGCGTCTGCATGTCGTAGAAGAGACCGGCGAACTGCATCTCGTCCAGCACGGCGAGCACAGCCTGTGTGTCACCGTGGCGGTACCAGAGGATAGAGGCCAGCTCGTTGTAGAATGGCGTAGAGACGCCGAGGACATACGAGGCCAGGCCGAGCTCCTTGACCCGCGGGAGGACGTTCAAGGCCAGTGGGGAGGAGTGCGCAAAGGACTGGTCGAGCGTCTTGAGGCCCTGCAGGAGGTGCATGGAGTACAGCGGACCATGGGAGTCCATGCTGAGGGCGTCTGGCTGGGCCTTTTTGGACGACTTCTTGTGCGACGAGGGCTTGGCCTTCTTTTCCGGATCCGGCTGGCGCTGCTTGTCCTCAGAGATACCCAGCCTTGCGACCATGGAGAAGACGTCGCGTTCCAAAACGTTCCAGACCTCAACGTCTGTGTTGCACTGGTCCAGAAGGGCCTGTAGACGAACAGCTTCTTGAGCGCGGGCGTCCCTGCGCGCAGCTTCGAGCTTGGCGGCTTCTTCCAGGTCTGATTCGAGCTCCTCTTCCGGCTTGAAGGAAATGCGCGACGAGGTCAGCTGGTCGCCTTGCACCTGGCGCATTCCAAGCGCGACCTCAGCCGCGCGGCGCAGAGCAGGGGGGTATTTTCGCAGAATGGCATCGCGAGATCCGGACTCGGGTTCGGGTTCGACTTGCGAGGAGGAGGAGGAGGAGGAGGCGGCGTCGTCTGCAGCAGCCTGTGGCGGGACCTGGCCGCCACGCTTCGCAATATCGTCAAAGATTGCACGGAAAACTTGTCTCTCGGTCGGAGTAATGGTGGACTTTCTCTCGCCGTCTGGGCCGCTGGGGATATCCGTTCGCTCTTGGACAGGGCCGTCCCATTCGAAGGGGATGCTCTGTTCGCCGCGGCTTCGGGGGTGGGCGTGGAGCCGGCCTGCGGTTGTCGAGAGGGATCGAACAGAGACGGAGGCCCTTAGGATTGTCCTCGTTTGGTAGAGAAAGGGCGTCAATGTTGTAGCCATGGTGTGCGTGTGTTGTATGGTTGGAAGCGCAAGGTATGCACTTCACTTTGCGATGGTCAAAAGTTGCGAATCTGCCGACGCAACAAAATTTCCATCCAAAAATCCAACAGGGGAAGCTCGGGCCATGCAGGGACCGACAGGGTGCTGATGGCTGACGTAATAGACATTAAACCCCCTGCAACCGCCGGGGACCTCGACGCGTTGCGACGCGCTTTCAATTAGGCAGGTTCGCCTCCACCGCGCTCCTTCCGTCGTGGTTTACTCCTTCTGAATTGCCTCTTTTTTCTTTCCATCAATTTTACCATTATTTCCGACTTTCTCTTGCTTCACAACTTCTACATCTGGCTCTGGGCTACTCTCGCGACAGGTCAAAAGACAGTTCGGCACTCCAATTGCGCTCACAGCGTGGCAATTCTCGCAGTACGTCACAGACTTCCTCTTCATTACCACTTCAACCTACTCAACATTGTGAACAGCCCCGCTCCGAACGACCACAAACACCACCTGATACGCCTCCGCATACCGAACCACGGAAACTACCGCTTCTCTCCGGGCCTAACACCGTCGAATCGCACATTTTACCTCTTCCCGCCCATATACATCCCAAGCCGCAGTCATGGCCCGCACCAAGGTCAAAGCCGAGGAGGAGCAGGGGATGAGTGCCTTCGAGAAGATGCGCCTTGCAAATATTGCGAAGAACAAGACCATGCTGGACGACTTGGCCAAGGCGTCGAATAAGATCATGCCTCCCAAGCCCAAACTAGCACCAAAGTCTCGGTCGACTCCCGTAAAAAAGGAGCCTGTTGCTCCGACTGGCCCAGTCCGTCGCAGTGCTCGCGTTGCAGGCTTCGATGCCGACAACGAAACCCTGAAGCGCAAGTACGAGGTCGAGGTTGAAGAGAAGGCTGCACAAGAAAAAGCTAAGAAGACAAGAGTCGGTGGCAACCTTAGTCTGGGAGACATCGCCGTCGACGGCAAGAAGTTCAACAACGGCATCACTGGGCTGAGTGCATTAGTCCCTCGAGGCGCCCAACCTGGCGTTCCCACCTTTACCGACGAAGATGTGGAGAACACGTCTGATAAGGACTTGAAGGAGTTGCGCAAGAAGATGGGCAAGTTGGAGCTCTATGAAAAATGGAGCCCGCAAGGTACGTCAGGCAATCTGTGTTCGCCGTCAGTTGTAGTTACTCACGTATTTCCAGATATAAAAATCTGCCCGTTGCGCATCTATGCGGCCACTTTTCACCCTACCGAGGACAAACCCCTGGTATTCGCCGGCGATAAGGAAGGCGCTCTAGGTGTTTTCGACGCCTCTCAGGATGGCCCCCCGGAGAACGACGATGACGACGAGGACGCATGGTTTGACCCCAAGATTGGCGCCTACAAAATCCACACTAGAACGATCACGAC